GTTATTCGATGTTTGTTATCAGGGGCGTATTTAGGGGGGTGATATGGGTGTTAGAACACTCCCATCGACCTTATTTTATGGTATTTCACCAAATTGTAAACTTACTTTGATCATTTGAATAAACGTTGTATACAACTTGTAGGTTTTACATATGTTGTCTTAATGTAATAATTTCATTTATATAGATACATGTTAATTATTTATATAATACGGGGGAGGGGGAAGAGGCTCTACTTACCATAAGTCTATTAAATTTTAAAACATCCCCGTTACATCCCCCTGGATACGCCACTAGTTGTTATTTGGAAGGTTAGTGTGTTCATTATTCGTTTATTATACATTTTGTAACGTTAGCGGATTGGGAAAATGAAAATTTATTATCGTAATAAGGAAATGATGGAACCTTATGAACAAAAATCATTATCATAATATTTTGAAAAAATAAACCGTGGAACAAAATTGCAATTGCATTGTCCGATCATATTTTAATTGCAATCATATCAAATGATTGTAAATATTAAATTGTGTCAATACTCGCTGCACATCGGAGAGAAAAATGTTTAAAAAATGCAAATGGGTAGGAACCGGTTCTATTACCACCAGTATCTATACTCGGACACTGTGTAAATAGTAGCAATGACTTTTTTAATGGAAAAATTTAACTGTTATTGTTAGGGCCCGGATTTTTATGCAAATGCATACTCTTCTACAATTCACCTAGAATAATTTTTATTATAAATGTCGACGTTTCGTTATGTGTAGAGTCTAGGGTTAATTTTTCTTTTTTTGCATATTTTTGCATATTTGAATGAAGATGCATATTTATTGATAGTTACATAAATGTTGCATATTCTACAATTCGTAGAATTCACGTCTGTAAATATACCTACTGTCGATTGTAAATAATCCATTATACATCGATTTGCGATCGTCAATCGACATCATCGTTATCGACGGCCGAAGAATGACGACAAATATTGGATTTTCTAGTGGTAAATTTATTATTACCCAAACACGTCTACATTATATAACAGTATAGTATACTGTACAATACGTATTGGGTAACGCATAATTTAGTTTTAGTTTGGTCTTTATTGTGCGTAGTGTACAGTGTGCGGTACATTTTGTTTAAAAAATCTAATTTGAGACTTTTAATTTTATATAATGCCTAAAGTAAATAATGCTTCCTGGTATATAAATGAATATCCAAACATATTTAAAACGGACGGTAATATTTTTAGTATGCTTCGAAATAATCGTAGGAGTTTTTAATTCGAAAACTTGAAATCCATATTTATTACTTCATGCTGGTACTCGTCCAATAATAATAATTCAATATAAATAGTAATATTTTAATTAATTTATAATACTTTTATACTTACACAATATCATTAAAAATGTTATTTTGATTGTTTTTTAATAAACAATTTTTGTACATAACAAATTATAAATTTGTAAAAAAAATCATTGCATATTTCTTGCATATATATGATATGTATTTATTGATATGATATTTATATATATTTATGAAATTGTATATTTTATAGATTTTTATTGCATAAAAATCCGGGCCCTAATTATAGTTATAGGTACATGTTCAGACGCGCACCTAGTATTTCTTGGGGGGACTCATCATTCTTTCATATTTTCCTAATATACAAATAAACCATTATCATTAATTTTTAAGTAATCATATTTTTTTATTATTACCATATAGTATATAGCAATAGCTAGTATCTACGTAGAATACGCTAATATTCATAAACCTAAATATAATTTTCAAAATAAATAATCGATTGGCGATTGCCCAATACACAAACACATAATCATGTACAGTTAAATACTATAAATGTGTATTTAACATACTAATCTAATTTGAGAAAAAAAATAATCATTTATCATAGTAATAATAATTATTTGTGACGAAACAATAAGCTATTGTAGTATATAATCTAATGTACAAAACATTTTTTGTTGGGGCTTCAGACCTAATAATTTTTTTATTTTTACGTTTTAATTTTAAAGTTATAAAATGTATCATGAAGAAGATATACTAAACTTTTCTTAGTACCAATACAATAAGTTTTTAATATTTTATATGAGTCGAATAATTGAAAAAATGATTACGTTTAATGTAATTTATGTGTCGGAAATTTGAAACCGTTATCAACATCCAAGATTAGTTCATCAAATTTATGAAAGTGCATAGCAGTAAGTAGTAGAATTATTACTTTTTTTTTATAGTATTTAATCTTAAGTTAATATATTATTTATATTTTTCAATTTTTTTTCAGTTATAACATGATAGTAACGTAGCTATATTTTTCATTGAAAAATAAAGTAATTTCATTAAAATTTACTTCTAATAACGTAAAATGTAATTTCATTAAAATTAAGGCAATGAGTAACGAGTGAAGTAGCTTATTACTTTTTTAAAGTAACTTATCCAACACTGCAACATACACAATCATAAAGTTTTGACGAACCTAAAAGTCGTATGCTTCGAGCTTGTAATGCAGTTGACAATTTCGATTTAAAATTTGAGTTGCAATTTAAGCTCTTTTATGTTGAAATGTTGAATAATAAACTAATTTTCGCGTACACATAATGTTCTTGGAAGTTATTTTGTTATTCAAAGACGTACTGATAATTTCACGTTATTGACATTGGGTGTAACAATTTCATATAGTGTTGCAATGTTACGAGTTAATGCTGTCAATTATTACTTGATTTATTATCATGTGAAATCTAAACCATAACGGCAATGCTTGACTTGGCAAAATTAAAGAAGGGGGCTTTGTTTGAAAAGAGCGTCGCTAAAACTTATTATGAGTTATAACCATAACGTAATAGTAGTAAGGGGACATTAAAATTTCTGAAAATCAGTCGTGGTATTCCGTCCCCGAGTGTCCTCCTTCAATTCGAGCACTAGTACACCATAACAGTAATTATTGGTGCACGTTCTCTGGTTCTTGGTCTTTTGACCGCGATCGAAGTGATCGAGAAAGATAATGTACGAATCGGCAAATCGGGAATCGGCGCGACGAACGTGAAAACGAGATAACGGGTCGTGCGCGTGTTGTTTATCACGCGTCGGATATGAACAACTAGATAAGAAAAATAATTTAAAACTAGTTAAAAATTAATTTACAAACCAACCATCTACCGTTGAAAAAAAACAAATATGAACTTTAAGTCTTTGCTCAATTCCGAACAATTCGTATTCATAAAAAACGCTGGAACAATTTTCAATCCGTGTTAATCTTTCTTCGATACTGTTCTTTCATTTACATCGATACAGTTAATATTATTACCATGATTAATCGATTTTAATGTATTTCTGTGATCGCCTTATAAGTTATAGTAAATTACTGATAAAGTACTAAAATCATTCTCAAGTTTAAACTCATAACGAACTTGATATGTACTACGATGCAATGTTGTACCACGGTCCTTAATGTGGACCTGGCAGTCGGCCCAAAGTCACTTTAAAGTCTAGATTTGGGCAAATTCATACTCCTGAACCTCCTCCCCCAAATTACGCTCTTGTTTGATCACGGTCCACAATCAACCAAACGGCACGAGTACAAGACCGTTAATCAATACAATCACGCGCGTCTCTTATGTACAGTCTTAGCACACGACGGATACGGTTTGCCAATTGATTGTTTTTCAACGAGATAAAACGATTCGCACGGTCCGCAAAGTCGATGGGTTTATACTAATTGGTACGTCGAAAAACTTGAAGTAACTATTTTCCCTATCGTTTATAAATGCGCCGTACACTGCGCGCTGTGTCCATTTTTCAATCAATTTTCAATCGTTGCATCACCGACGAGCGAATATTCCGATGTAGATACATTTCTATTGTATTTGCCTTTATCGTTGCCTGTGTAGTTTGTTTCGCATTCCTATTGCCAACGATCCGGATACGATAGACATCGATTTCTGCGTGTGTCGAAGAACTATCACGTTTCAATTAAACTAATCTCGTAATGTCGACAGCTTACCGTGATGTGAATACGTCAAATGGTCTGTGCCACTGTGAACCACTACCGTTACCGATACTTATACGATTACATGTTTTCCATCCGCTCAACCAAAATTAAAAATAGTTTTTCATCTGACCATAAATTGAATATTAATTTTTTTCGCTTTTCGGTAAGAACCGTAGTGTTTTCCCGCACTGTATAAATATTATCGTCACAGTTGTCGAAAACTCCTAAACGTACAGTTTACGTTTTCTCTATTAGTTTAGCCGGTTTCTTGGGACCCTTCAAAATTACGCTTCTTGTATAATAATAATGTAGCGGTTAGTGTTGTTTTATCAGTATTCTTCTGTTTCGCAGCTCAAAGGAGAAATTAATTAGATGCTAGAAAAAAAAAAAATAAACGGTAATGACACGTACACGAGAAATATGAAAAATTAGTGGAATATTTGTAACGTGGAATTGGTATGATTAAACAATTAAACGTATTAAGGTTTTTTTTTTTATTTCACTTTCGCACTTTGTACCTGCAGTGATGAATCCTCCCCCCTCTCCGTTCGGAACAGTTTGCGTATAGGGTTTTTCGTTGGGTTTCGCAGCCAAAACGCGCGCGCTGCACGTAGTCGTCGTTTTACTGCCACCCGATCCGACATCCGGCAACACGATGCCGTTCACGTAATTATGCAAATCGTCCGGCATTTTTACTATCCCAAAACGTGTTTCCCGCGCAGCTGAACGATCACTAACGGTTTTACAACGGTCAAGGAGACCCGTGCGGTGAACGCGTTCCGATTTTCCGTGTCGTTCGTTTTCAGTTTTAAAAGGCGCACGTGCGCCCGTAACAGTGTGACATGACGACGCGTCGCGGTCAACAATAAAACGCATTAAACATCGTCGTCGTGAAAGTGTACACGGACACGGTCGTATCATCCGCGATCGATAAACACCGCAGTGGAGTACTATCGCGCCCAACGGTTTGTGGTAGGATGAACTCATACAGGAGTATGTGATTTCTTATACCGGCATGTTGTTACCTATCTTGACATGGCGTTAACTCCTGTTTGAGAAATGGTGTTGACAGTTAACTTCTAGGTACACGAGATACTGTTAGCCTTTTTACTCGAGATTCACTAGATCGATTATTACGTTGATTGTATCGAAAATAAGCCATCATTAACCATGTGTACACAATACTTGTTCAATATACATAATCGTATTCCGATTCCGTTGATAAAGTATGAAATTACTGTCTTTTTTTTTCCGTTGACATTATTCAGATTAATTAGATCGAATACCGTTGGATATGTATTTACGTAAAAACAGCAAATAATAATAATAATAGATAATGAATAAGTTGTACTTTCTTTTACATATTTATTAAATAGTACACAAAATATAAGTACTCTTCATTAGACAGTAAATGATATTGGCAACTTTTTTTTAAGACATATAGTGATTTATTAGTCGGGCAAAAAGGTTAAATGTATGAGATAGCATCAACAAATTCGATTAGATAAAATGGTTATTCGTAAAAGAGTTTAAATTTTGCCTCTGGCAGAGACGTATACAGAAATTTGGCACTCGGATGTTCTATGAAAATGTATACCACGCTAGATAGTACGTTTTTTTACTCAAGTAAAACAGTTCAACTACCAAAGATAAAGCAGTATCGTACACACACGATCGTCATAGTACAATGGGAATTTAATATTGATTTTGAAAAAAATAATGTTCCCCGGGTCAATAACCTTTAGCCTCTCTTTTCTTATGAAATATGTCACTGATTAGTGGTTATGGGAAATTAATCCGAGTAATCGTAATAATAATTCGAAACGTAACCAAAACAAATCAATAAAATAAGTACATAACGTGACACCGAACATGTAAATGAATAAAATGCAACGAATAATGTAAAAAATAATAAAATGAAAATATATTAATACACTACTAATTAATATTAATTAATATTAATATACTATATTAATACACCCGAGAAAAACGGCATTTGGTTATCACAGCGTTCGGAACACAGCGGCTCGAGCTTTCCGGGTATATATTTGTACCAGGGTAACATGAGTATTTGTCGTGAGAGCTCGCAATAGTAATATTATATTCCACATATATATATTTATATAAATATATATTTATATATATTTTTATACATATATACATTTATATATTATATACACACACATACCAATATATATCTATATATAACATGTAATACGTATTTCTACTTTATACTATATATAAAATACGTATGTACTTCTACGCGCAGAGTGATTCATTTAACACTAGCTCGTATCATTTGAACTTGCTTGTATTAATACACTACAGGTGTCCGACGTTAAACGAATCACACTTACATAATATCTGCATTAAATAATGTCTCGAAAACACTGACAAATTATGTTAATTTAGAATAATTAGTGTTTTAAATGGACTAGTAAGTCCCGGTGTATATTTAATACTATAATGTACACACGGAGTCCTTGATACACTTTACTTTTGATTAGCGTTAAAAAAAAAATTGCCGGAATATGATGGTTATATACCGAGTTTCATGTTACATAAGCTATAATTTATGATATCATGATTTAGTTATCTAAGATCTTATACCAAATAATCTAAGATATCGTATGTGTATTGAATACCGTACAATGATATACAGACCGTTTTGCAATAGTTCCCGGCCACCTCCCGAAACGTTGTAAATAGGGCCTTACGATTTGAATCTAAGAGTAAGGGGTCAGTATTTTAACGTGTTAAATGTTGCTCTGGTTAAATGTAATTTATTCTAAAATATTCGGTAAAAAAATAAATGATGCTTCATTAAAGAAAAAACAAAACAAAATGTTCTAAATATTTATGTGACAACTTCTTATGATAATATAACAGCTGCAATTGAATAATAAAGTACGAGTACAAACTATAAATAATTGAAACCATCTAAGAAAAACAATACGAGATTCATAGAAAACATATTCGTTGGGACTAACCACAGTATTAAATAAAACATTTAAGTTACGTTTATGTGATTATTTATACATTATAATTTCCTACGAATTTCGTTAAGATGCCCCCCCCCAAGTATTGTAGGCGTTTCCTGAGATATATGTCTGCATACGCCTATAATCGGAACGCTTCGAATCCTCGACAGACTGTTTTTTATGTATTACCGTGTAAACATTTATAGACGAAACGCGATGATAAATCACTGATTCTGAACAATTATACTTGCTGGTGGATCTTTTGAAAAATTACGATGGTTAGTAGAATAAACGTGATGCTAGTAGAATATTGAATGACAATAGCGACAATTAAGAGCCTAAATATTGAGGATGCTGAAGTATTTGAAAATAAAATAAAATGGTATTTAACTATAATTACTGTAGATTATATGGATCTGGAAAAAAAACAGGAGTGCTACATTTGAAGTCGGGGGTGCTAAAACCCTATTGCGCCCCATTAGTTGCGCTTATGTTCAGTTGGATGATATAGTGGCCAAAGGCTGTTACCTCAATTTCGGATTAGACCGGAAAAGAATTCATCGGATTGGCTCGATCGAACGATCAAAAAAGTATTATGCTCGGTAAAGAAATGAAAATGACGATTGCTTGCACCCGGTGCACACGAATCGTTTAGTCTAGCGATTTTTTTTTTCACTCGAACTGCTTCCAAGTGTTTTGGAGGCAATTCTAATACCCTCCGAGTATTGCGTACAAAATCGAATTGCCTTCCATGTAGCGTGCCCGTTGTCGATGTATAGAATCGATACAGCCAATTTTTCGATCCTAACCGGTGCGGTGTAGGTCATTACGTATAATACGCTGTACGCGCGTTTCGAATAATCCTCGATCAAAATCATCTAAGCCTCTCGGGTTAATTTTTCACTCGAGTTGATGTACAGTTAAACTATATTAAATTTGGGTTTTGAGTTTACAGGAAGTTCAGTGCATTCGGGCGAGCAGAATCGTGTTAATATTCGGGTTAATTCGGATGGTCTGTGTGTAGAGCAAACGCGTTTACGTTCGAATATTATAACGCGTGTATTATCGACGGTGATGTTGGCGTTCAGCGACAAACGGTGTAATTAAATTTGGAATAAGTAACATGACACTATAGTGTCTCGCGACGAAAGAAATAACATTTACCAACGAAGTTTGTCGTTTCTTGTTTTTGCAAAAATCTAATGTTTATTATATTAATATCGGTAATCATACGTCTCTCGTCGGAAAATTGTTTTCGCCAAGCGAAAATATCCGTTTTCAATGCCATTTCTTATGTATTTGAAAAACCTTTTAACATGGATACGGCCCGTCGTCTGATTCACCAAACGAATACACTTACACGTAGCGTAATGTTATTTTTCCTAGTCCGATAAATTTAGTGTTCGGATCGCATGGGTTAGAAAACTTAGGATTTCCAGAGGATTTACGAGTTTGGGTTGATTTGAATGCAAAATAAGACTCACAAATGTTGCCAAAATAAATCTAAAAGTGAACGTGAATAATATCGTAGTAATAACACGATATTACGAACCGTTACGCAACTTAAGTGTGCGCCTTTTTCCTAATCGATCCAGGGAAGCTATGAAATACATTTCGAGTGCTTTAAAACTGTCTTCAGCAATACAAATTACGCAGATACATCTTCGGGTTAAACCGTATACCGACTCAAAAAACATAAAACCTATGCAATCCTGTTCTAGAAATTATGATTTATCATGTGAAATATTTTATCTAGATTCCACCTAGGTGCTTATATATTAGCATTATACCGAACGAAAATGTATCGTACTATATCACGTACAAAATTTGTCGACGGACCATTGCATTAATCCACCATTTTTTTTTTTTCATTCTATACCAGAGGTGATTTTGATTTCGATCACTTTTGAGACTGCAACAATATTGTTTATTAAACGTTTTAGTTAGTACTGCGTTAGCAACAATAATTATTTTTATGAATTCCTGTATTATTGGTAACAGAGATTACAATAATAACATTGGCCGACGTATGATGCCGGTGGTGGTTAGGATATAAAAAATGGTCTTTTAGAGAAATGCGGTACTTCCTGGATTATTACCTAGATTATTTCCAAAATTGTATTGCGTAAGAAAATATTGTAATTCATAATAAACATTAATAGCGAATCACGCTATCGAATGCCATGTTAATTATTGACATTTCGCGTCTGAAACCCAGACACTGCGTACATATAATTTAAATAACTTTGTGTGAACTAATCGCTAGGTAAATAAAAAACCTTATTTTCATAAGCACACTTGTAAAAACAAAAGTAATACAAACGGTTGTAATGTGTGTTTACGTAACTGTTTGGTTTTTTCTGACTTTGAAATTAGACGATAGCAACGCAGGTGTATGATTAGCTAGTTAATCGAAGAAAAAAGTAACGAAGGCCATTTTTCAATAATCATATTTTACGATCAAAACGTTTGAACATTATACTTTCTTTTGTTTACGATGAATGTTTAAGGAAAATGTTCAAGCGTTCGCTACCCAAACAGGAACCCTTAATATACTATAATAGTCTACCGACCAAGGTCGTCGTTTTCCGTAGAGTGGAAAATAGCTAGTTATCTAATTTATAAGCCGTCTGCTTCAAATTGAATCCGACGGAAATTTAATACTAGAAACAGTGCTATAGTTGCGATTAAATATAAATTCGTTTAAATTTTAAATGTCTGATTATACATGATTTAAATTTTCATTCATTCGGCCGGCCGCCAACGCAATCGTGTTGATTGGATTACAGTTTTGAATACATAATAATATACACGTTTATTGGCTGTTCATTCAAATCGTGATATTTAAAATTGGCCATTATTAATGACGGTGGTATCATTATCTGTTCAAATAGTACACGATCGTAATTTTTACAGTACATTATTTGAATGTTGTGCTTGGCCGTGTGCACATTCAAATATAACCCCAAACACATGGCTCGGATGATAGCGTCAAATACTATTGCGTCGGTACAACACTCAAAAACATAGCGGTCTTAAATTGTAGTCAAGTGTTATGAATTATGCGCCCGTCGTATAGGGTATTTTCATCGATCATACGGCTCGTATAACTATTTCGAAAAAATAACTGTCATTGCACCTGAAAAAATATTGTTCTACAAACACGTCTCGGGCCGACGATTGCAAGTACAATTTTCCTCTCATCAAGTCAGCGACTTAGGCAAATTATACGAATAATCGTTAATACAATAATAATAGCGAATAATCGTTCGGAAAAATAATCGTCGTCGACTGCATAACGGTTTTCTTTAAAAATTTCAACGCGGAATTTATGTGTTATATTTTTAAACCGGTCATTTATTCATCACTGCGTGATGATCCTTCCGTTGCAAAACATCCGTGTTTTGTTCAATGTCCGATAACATATAATGAAGTTACATTTACTGAAGTACAACTATAGTCTTTGTAGACGCTGTTTCATAGGTTTGATCTCGAAATTAAATTAATGCCATTTTCGAAACATACACGAAACCGTATTCAAATGCTGTGCAACTTTTTTGTATAAACCGAAGTCGGCGTTGACCGGTGTACACGGAATAATATGTGAATAAGATACTACGATTTTTAATACGAACAGAATTAATACGGGACGCCCGAATTTTCGGTCGGATAGTCGACCAGACTTGTTTTAGTGAAATTTATGTGGCTTGGAGTTAAAAAGTGCATGAAAAATGACAACACGACACTGAATTGACAAAAATGATGCGTTTTTACCGACGAGTACCTACATCATGGTAATTAGTAAATAATATAGTTGAAATATCATTAAGATCTGTATAATAAAATCCATCAGTAAGATATAAGCTGTTTTATTTTAAGACTCGTGCGTTGGGAGTTTTATATACGTAGTGCGTACAACAATAACAATACAGCCAAAGCGGCTAAAGATGGAGATAGTTATATAAGTTATATATAGTTTATATATATAGTTATAGTAGCTCGGTATACGCTGGGGAACAGCGGAGGGAATTCGACCAAAGATAACGGGGAGGAGATTCTTAGGATTCAAAGGGCATTTAGGACAACACGTTATCCGGTTTGTACCATGGTTTGAAATATTTGAATAATTTCAATTATTTATAGATTTCATTCTACAATCTGACCACTACTCAAATATGATCATTGCAAAAATATGTATTTGCAGATAGTATGAATAAATTTAAAAAATAAAAATGTGTCTAATTGACTTTAAATATATATTTCTAATAGTACGGTTACTAAAATCGAAGCCACGAATTCTATGCGTTTTTTCTTCATAGAACGAATCTCTGTTGAGCAAGGCAATACGTTTTTCGATATCTGTGTTGGTTGAGTGTATTAAATCATGTGTTTCTGAGACGTATTTAACGTGATTGTAGCCGATACTGAATTCAAGCCGATTTACGGAACGTCCTGACTCCGTAGACCTCTCCTTAGGTAACATCTTACTATAGACTATAGGCGAAAAATCAATTAAGAAAAATCAACTAAGACTATAGGCGCTCCGACGTAACCGACATAATTATAATACAAAAGCGCGATGTCGTGTTGGATTTAATAAACAAGGTATCTGTCTCGCTGTCTCTTATTATTATAATTATAGTTACAACAATAATTATTTTAAGACGTGATGGCCTAACATTCAAATTCACAGCGGTTATTAATTAAATTCTTCCACTCGGGTGTTGTGCGATTCGTCGTACGGAATGTAAATATTGTTTCTTACAACAAAATTAATTTAAGTTTTATTATTTTTATTATTAATAAAAAAATAATAAAAAATTAATAAAAATACAATTAACGTTCTAACCACGGGCGTATTTTTAGCCGAAACAACCAGATACTTATCTAAAACACTTGTAGTTGATTTTATTAAGTTTATACCAGTGTAATATAATTCAAGTACACGCGCAGATAAAATATTATTTTGTCGTAGCAAATGGTATATACACAGGTATTTATGAATAAACACATAATTTACGGTTTTCATTCCCGTTGTTGTCAATTACGTTTTAGTTAAATTAAATACATTCTAAATGAACCACACGTGCGTTTCGAAAACCAACTCTGAATAACTAAACACACCATGGTAAATTTTAGTAGGATAACTCACTTTGATACGTCATAATACGAGTACTGGACTAAAATAATTTTAATAATCATTATGAATTAATCATATTGTGATTAATTCAGAATGTGAATTCATAGAATATTTCAAAAAATACTTGCAAAAGTATTATTTGGTTCATTTTTAATGGCCCTATAATATTATATTTTATAAGATTTTAACTTAACCATATGTTTGATGGTTTAATTTAAATATGAAATAATTTTTTTCAGCTGGATATTATATGATATACTTAATACATAATTAAGTAACTGTTACAAAGAAAAAATAATTATAAAATATAGTTAAAAATATACCAACTGAAAAATAACATTAAAAATGTACCTTTTATCAAACAAATGCTAAATTATTAAAACCATATTATAAATGCATTTAACCATTTGAATATCGTATAACGAATTCGAATTTTTTTTTTCGTTTCTAGTTATAATTGAGATTTAAGATGTTTCGTATAATAATAATTGATAAGTTTACGACAGCAACCGAATAATAGTAATATTAAAGTTTTATGATTCAATTCGATTAGCTGTTAACGCCGTGACCAATATATTCAAATTGTTCAAGTAGAGAAAAATAAGTCAAATAAACGACATTAAGTTATAAGCGAGCAATAACGATAATAATAATGGTTATTTATTGTTTTTTTTAAATTTGGAGAGTAGAAGAGAAAAATATTTGTTGCGATCGAGAACCAGGGTCGCATAAAAATAAAAGCTTCTACTTTTTTTATAAAATTCAACTATATTCGAGATATCATAATACCATTTTTTCCGTCGCCACTGTACAGTGTACATACATTAGTACATTTACTTATTTATTACAAACGTGATCAGATGGGGAATGCCAATCATAAGCGTGTGCAGACATAACTGGCAGGGTAGTCAAACATAACACATTATCATTTAATATTAACAAAAAAATTGCATTCGTAACTTCATTTAACTTAAAAACTATATTTCTCCAGTATTCTTACATTTTTTTAACGTTAACTAATGTTTCGAAGTGGTTGAAAATAATATGTTTATTTATTATTGTGATCATATTGAATATTTTGGTGAGGGTGGGAAGTTTCACAGAATAGTCAAGTACCTACCCTGACTACCCCGTGTGCACGCTTATGATGCCAATTGTGGTAAAAATGTATTTGTTTTAACTTGACTGATTATATTATTGAAATCAACCGAGGAACAAGTCGAGTTATTACAGAATAGGTATTCTAAACAACGGGATCAACTAACAGAATACGAGAAATACAGAATAAATAAAAATACAGAATACCATTTCCCGCTTGCCCACACTTCTGGTCACTTCTTTCTTACAGCCATTCGTGACACTTTGAACGACTCAAACATTCATCATCAAGTTATATTTTGTAATGTATAAATGGCCAGGAACTCTAGAAATGCTATACACAATTGTCTACTTAAGAAACAGTTATTTTCCAAATCTATTCCACAATGAGCTAAAATCTGAACATTATTTATTATCAAAACAATTTTTATTTTCGGAAAGTCTTTATTTATGATATTTCTGGAAAACAACAGACATTAAAGGTATACTTCAAACATAAAATTGATTACAGTTCAGTTACTGAAACGACGAATAAAATTGTAGCTTTTTAAACAACAGAATTTGCATTTTATTATGCAAGTATAAATTGGAAATAATGGATCACTCATAGGAATATTGGAAGCAATTTTCTGAAAAAAAAAATCGTTAAATGATTTAAACGATACACTAAAAACGGAACTCTTTTAAATACAATATATCCTCGAATTTTCCAAAATAGTTTTTAAATAATTGTGAAAAACTAAAGAATAATAAAAAAATTACATAATTTATATGTGTAATCACCATATTAACTGTATTTAGAGTATACCGATTTTTGACAAAACCGAATTTTTATTTTTATCGTAACTCAACAACAACAAATACGTAATATAATAATTTCTTTATTTACGGAAATAAATTACAACTACCAATTTGATATTTTATAATATGATAGTTTACTATTTTTGATAATTACGTAAATTATAGGTTATGCGCAAAATAGGAATAAATTACTGAGCAAAATATACCGATTAGGAAAAGTTAAATCATAGATTAATTGTATGACGAATTATTATAATATTTAGATCGAAACAACGGTTTGCATTAATATAAAATAGGAACCGGGTGTTGTCAGTCTTATACTATTGTCCTATCATGACGATTGACGAATTGATTTTTTTTTTCTATTTTAACAAACACCCATACGAGTTAATTGTATTTTATTTTTTGCAATCAATTAAATTAAAATTAGCATTTATTTTTTTACTGCGTTTTGTCCAACACGTGGTGCGTATAGTAATTATTGTATACTAATCGACGCGACGGAAACAATTATAATAGATTAACCGTCAAATTCTGTGTTCACGGTGACTCGAGTAAAAAACGTCTTTCGTCGCAGTTGCGTTGTATAAAAATTATCAATCACGGATTGTTGTTTCAGTTTCATGCTTTTCGATCGTGCTGCGGTACTCGTTGCTGTTACTGCTGACATCAAAATGTTCGGACAAACCAGTATCGTAAGTAATCAAACGAGTCTAGATCTACACTTATGGTTGGGTTGGGTATGGTACAGTAAACTGTAGCTTAAACACGGGAAACAGTCGGTTCTCGATGAGTTTCATTGTCATTTAAGTCACTTCGACCAGAGTTTTATGTTTGAGATTCTGATCGAGTATATCGATTTTTCGATGACACTTGTGTTCCGTGATCAGAGTGTCGGTTAGATAGTAAATCTGTACCAAAAGTGTTACGGGAAATCTCTCAAGGTCGTATATCGGGATCAATATATACAAGCACCTACTTTGGAAAAGTCGTTTTTCGGATGTTCATCATAGTGTTATAGATAAGTCGATTTTCACTATCTACCGGAACCATTTTCTCAAACGCGTTCATATGTCTAAAAAATAATACGAACAAAACACGTGGAAAAAGTGTTCACTTTTATCACAGTCATTTGCACCGTGTATGGTTGGATAATTAAAAATGTATACAAACGCGTCAGGTACATGTTCATAAAATTGTATCGGTTTTAAATTATTGTACACACATCTATGCTTGTATGATTTTTTCTCAACTCGTAGAATTCTGTCGACAAAAATTCGTCATATTTTCGGTCTTTTCGGTTACACGTTGCAAAAGGTTATTTTATAGAACACTGCGTACACATTATATGTACGTACGAAGGGATTACAGTCGATTGAAGTATTATCAGAACGATTACAATACGGTTAATCCTGCGCAGTTGATTCGCGACGTTCGTGTTTAATCTCCGTTGTCGATGTTATTATCGGTTAATAGTGTAACATAATCCCTGATCGAGTGTACTCGTTTTAACGGAATCAAATCCTAGATTTACGTCCTGATCACAGATTCGATGATAACAACGCGTGAGAGCCGTTCGAATGTTATCGCGGGCGACACTCGGTTCTTTCACCTTCTCGATTGTATCGCGAACTTTTCACGGCGGTCAATTTACATGATAATGAATTAAAATAAATGTAACAGTGAATGAATATAATATACGACAAATTACGTGCAGTAACTTTGAACGACGTGATTTCGTCGTATTGTTTGTTTTTTATCGAAAAATAAGCAAAAAAAAAAAAAAAAATAAATAGTACCGACGAAAGTTGCTTTCATACGTGCTTATTAAAACAAGAATTTTACAACATTTACGACTTAATAAATGTGTGTTTTTGATTATGATTAACGATGATTGATAATGATTTTATGATTACCACGTGTAGGTACTTGTATTTATTTAAACAGTTTTTTTTCCTCTTTCCTTAAGATTCGCAACTTGCCGGCGTACGCCTTGCCGGTGACGAAAAGCGAACTGTACGTTTACGCGTCCGTCGCATTATTTGTCGTCATCTGGTGCCGCATGCGATGGCAGTTCAGACACTTTTACCGGCTCGCTGACAAGATCAAGGGTCCGCCATCGTATCCGCTGAACGGGTCACTTTACGATTTGAGCACGACCCCCGAACGTACGTATATACAAATTGAACACGTCGAAGTATCAGTGATTACAGTCGAATCACGTTAATGATGAACTTGACGGTTCTTCGAGGACATAATTCGTCGAAAAAAAATTTTTTTTTAAGAGACGTACCATTTTTATCACTTAAAAACACATTTTCACCGTATGAAACGTATGAAAATGATAATATGTGATATGTATGATTATAATAATAATTTTAATACTGCAAGGTTATAGTTTAATAAATAATGTCGGAATAGTTCAAAAAGTACTGTTTTTTTCATATATATATATATAAACTAAGATAAATATGGATCTCCCACGAGTGTTTTTAGCGAAACTCAGCAATATTTTTGCTTTGAAATTAAGTATAAAAATAATAAATAAAATATACTCAATAGTATAGCTCATGACGAATAGTACGTTGAAAGCAGCTTGTTTCTGAAACTTTATTTTACCATGCTTTTGAAAGAATGGAAGTACTAATCTTATTATATTAATAATTATAAAACAATTTGTTAGATAGAAAAGTGTTTTTGAATTATTATGGTTCCACATATAAAAACTACTAATACAAATCAGAGAGTTTCGTTGAATACAATTTCGACTGTATAATAATATATATATTATATTGTATTGTTATCATACGAGTGTTTTCATGTGTTTAGAGATGATGTACAATTTCAAAAAGTCGGCTGAAAATTACGACTACGAGCCCGTAAAATTGTGGATTGGTCCATTTCTTTTCGTCGGTGTTTATAAGCCAGAGGACGTGCAAGTAAATTATTATATTTTATTTACTCTCTAACCCCCTCTCCTATCTTTATACATAACTTGTTTTTACGAGCGAACAACAGCAATAAGTAAAAACATTTTAATTTTTAAATTTTATTTTATTTGTTTAATACAGATCGTTTTGAACAGTTCCAAAGCACTGGAAAAGGGCATTATATACCACATCATAAGACATGCAGTCGGCGAGGGCATATTTACCGCTCCTAGTTAGTTCTTGAATATTTTCCCGTTAAAACAAAACAAAACGTAACGTTCGTAAAACATGTTATAATACGTTATTTTCCTTCACATCACGTTATTATACCTACGTTTTATCGTGACATTTGAATTTCCCCACGAACGTCAACGTCTAATGAAAAATCATGTAACTCAACTAACCGTGTGCCCCGCGCTATTTTCCAGTAGAAAAATGGAGGAAACACCGACGCATCATTGCCACGATTTTCAGCTCCAAATTCTTGGACCAACTGTATCCGATATTCAACGAAAACAACAGAAAGTTAGTAGACGACCTCGCGAATCATGTCGGTGAAACTCAACCGTTTGACATCTGGGATTCTATAATATCGTGTAACCTGAACAACGTGAGCCGTAAGTTTAAATGTGTTCTACAAGTGGCGTTTCTGATACATCGCGTCGAAAGAGGAGGTTAAACTAAATTTATGCGATCACAACAATATGTAATTTTTTCCAAGGGTCAACTGAACGTGTAAACGTATTAAGTTCCATAGTTGGTGTTCGGCTTTCTTTAATTGTTTTTTTAGTAACATGTACAACATTTAGAAAAAAAACTATTTATCGATTATTAATTTATTAAATCAAAAATGAAATTATGTCGATGTATTTTAGTGTGATTGAAAATCACAATTATCTATGTGACGTGTAGACGGTTCGAAAGTAATAAATTGCCAATCGTTATATAAGCCTATCGGATACATTGCACGACGGCGTAGACGTATAAATCGATCGCAATCAACATTAGCCGATCGTGACCTAAAGTAACATGTTGATTTCAGAAGCTGCGATGGGCTACAACCTGAACGACAGACGTACGTTGTCCGAGTTCGTGCTCGCCATGAAGAAGTAAATTTAACGAAATCAATGTTATATATTTGTACAATAAAACTGTACCGACGTGTTAGTGTAATATTTAACTGCGAACACGCGTTTAGAGTTTCAGAATTGAGCAAGTACATCATGAAGCCGTGGCTGTATATCGATCAGATATTTTCCATTTACACGTACTTCAACGGTTTGAAGGTTTACATGAACCAGTTGGACAGGGTCTCGCTGCAAGTGAGTTGCGAACGCATGCTCCCGGGTACTTATCGTCTTAACGGTTGCGCGCGTTGTGTGTAGATAATAAGGGACAAAAAGCTCGAGTTCAAGACGTCCGAGTCGCAGCGGTCAGATGACAAGTCTAGCGGAAACGTCGCCGATGACTGTACGCGGATACGTATACAATAGTTATGGGTTACAGTAATAAAAGCTGCGAGACGATGGATGTATGGTCATTGGTTGTTGTGTTTTCAGACAAAACATCTACGAAAGTGTTCTTGGACAAGCTACTCAAGTTGAATAGCGAAGGAGCTGATTTCACGGATGAAGATCTGAAGGACGAGGTCATAACGATGGCAGTTGCGGTAATACGGACATACGATGAAAGCGCCACGATAGTGGCGTTAAGATAGATTATCATGAATGATTTGATTTTTAAACTCTCTCAAAAATCAGTAATGGTCGAACAGCAAAATTGGAATAGTGTTGTTCGCTTTCTCGTTCGACGACAATTTCGCGATTGATAAAATTCGATATCCCGAGTGCTATTGCGTCCTATATTGCTATTTAAAGACGGGAGTTTTTGACCCACAAAAGAAGAGGAGTGGTGGAGTAATAGCCACCGGTTTAGATTGTTCAAATTACTGTTGTCTAACCGTTTATCGTGTTCACACGTTCAAATAGTCGGTCAATGGTATTTATTTTTATTTTTAGGGAAGCGATACCAGTGCCATTAGTGAATGTTTTTGTGTTCTGTTACTCGGTATGCACCAAGACGTCCAGGTATTAACATAGCTCGAAGATTCTCTAGCGGCGATTAACTAGCCGGTTTTTTTTCCGTCCGTTAACCTTTGGCTGTTTTCGCAGGACAAAGTGTATGATGAGATCTACAGCGTACTGGGAGACAGCGATCGCGACGTTACTCCCGACGACATTTATAGGTTTAAATATTTGGAGATGGTTTTAAAAGAAACACTTCGGCTGTTCCCACCAGGAGCGATTTTTTCGAGAATAATTAACGAAAACGTAAAACTCAGTGAGTATGCGCAGGAAAATCCGTTGACAAAAACTTGACGATAATTGTTGTGCATTTTTGAGCGTTACCTACGAGGGAAAAATAACAGATCACATAGTGCGTTGTCCGGTATCGGGTCACTACCCTATCACCATTTCCCCGTAAGACATTTCCGTGCAATATTTCCCCATCAAATACACTACAATACAATACGATATAAACATATATATATTAACATAATAAAAGAATAAAACGTCATAATAATCGACGTCAGGTTAGTACAAATTGGTACAAATGCTAAAGCCATTAACGGTTTTCCATTTAAGACAAATTCAGCATTTAAAATATATTTTTCTTATACTTTAGGGATACACTGTATTTTTTCCTATATACATTGCCCAAAATGAAAAAAGAAGTTCCTTATTTGGACGTCCTTGAAAACTCTATAGGTAATTTATATTTGATAACACCTATAAGAATAAATATATATCTAAGTAAATTTGTCCGTGACTATACAGGGTGAAATTATAAGCTAAATAAACATATTACACAACGTGAAATTAAATTAAATTGTTTTATATTATCGGTATTTGTTGTATCTTATATCCTTCCTTTGACGGAGAAATGTCAAACGTGGAAAATCCCTGGATGGGGAAACGGTGACGGGGAAATGTATTACGGGGATCCATCCATGACTTGTCTATTCGATACGCTTTATTTAAAACGTTGTCGTAGATAAGTAATGATTTTCTTGAGAACCACGTCGTTATTACAACGACGAAAAGTTTACTTCCCGTTAGGTTAGGTTAGTTGGTTAGTTATGTAGTTGGTAAACTGTGTATTTGCTCTTAAAAAAAAAAAAACCTTTTTTAGCGAATTGCGAACTGCCCAAGGGCTCCAACGTGTTCGTGGCGCCGTACGTCACACACCGTTGTCCGAAGCTGTACCCCAATCCGGATTCATTTAATCCGGAAAACTTTAGTCCCGAGAACGAGTCCAGCCGACACAAGTTTAGCTTTTTGGCGTTCAGCGGCGGTCCAAGAGGATGTCTAGGTATGCACGAAACGAGTATTCGTCGTATTTGCGCGCTCTCGCCCGCGGCAAAATCTACACGCCGCTACTCACCGAATGAACGCAAAATCTAAGCGAGCGTCCATGAAAACGTGATCATAATTACACGATAACGTATTCCCGCAGGTGTCAAGTATGCGATGATATCGATGAAACTGATGATGGTGGCGTTATTACGTCGGTACAGCGTGCACACGGACAGCAAATTGTCGGATATAAAGTTGAAAATTGACTTGTTGGCGAAAAAAGCGGACGGCTACCCGATCACGATCCGGCCGAGGAACAGGATACCACGCGATATTGTAGTTTGAGTTGAAACGAAAATAAAACGAATACTGTACAGTTGTGTCTATGAATATACGAAACTAGTTTTCTTCATTGTGTATGCATCTGATTTAAGATAGCGAAAGAATTTTGAAATACGAAAATGCTTTAATTGTAAAAATTGTTATGATATTTACCGACATTGATATTGTAGGGCGAAAACGGAACACAGTATAAGACAAAAAACTAGACCATGATCAATAAATGGTGTTTTTTTTTTTTTTTATATAATAAGGTACTTTAAGCTTTCGCTATCTATACCTAGGAATGTAAAGGAACAGGCAATACATTTTGGCGTGTTCTTATAAAATGTGTAAAAGTCAATTGAAGTTTTATTACATATCGTTTAACCTTTCTCTTATTCTTATTCGCAGAGCTGCGAAATAATTTTTTATTACTATCGAATAATCATATTTTTTTAACTTACGGGAAATCACATTCAACACGACACACATTATTGTTGTTTTAAAAATAATCTTGAAATATAAAAAAAAAAATAAAACCGAAAACAAAAGTAGCAAATTTATACTGCGGGTCATTTAAATGCTAAATGGTTTTATTTTTCGGTTTTTTCTATGTTTCTAATAGTCTTCTCATTTTACTTATCCGTATAACTTTCGAATCAAAAATGGTCATGCACAAAGTCATTGAGAATAATGCAATAAGAATTAAGAATAAATTAAAACATGTTATGTCCATCACTTAATGAAAAAAATAACACTCCAAACGACGTTACACGAACGATTTAATAGATAATTATGGAAATATGTGCGAACACCTAGTCAGGGTTCGAGAGTTGTACGATTAAAATGCCATTTTTTATTTTTTTTTAACTAAATATTTCACTAAAAATAGAACTCAAACAACGTAACACGACCAATAATTTATAAATTTATTTCTACTCCTTTGTGCTATGAAAAATAAATTTTAATGCATTTTATATTCCTGCGAAGATTTTACTGCGGTCCATTTCGCATCGCCGTGACTTTACGTCAACGCGACTTCCCTTCACTGGCGCTCCATCCGTGTACTCCGCGAAGTTCGGCACAAAGATTTCGAATATTTTATCACCCGATCGGTACTTGCTGCACGCGGTTATCACCGACACGTACGGACGGTATCGTTTTATTAAATAATTGAATTTCCATTGCCCGGCACGCGGTGCTGCTGCCGCGGTTACGAGCGCACTCGCTCATCGCTGACTACGTTTTTAATTTTTTTTTTTAACAGACGAGCCCGTTTTTTTAATGCATACCTAATCCCATCGCCGGCAACGGGGTCCCTGAATTATACGACCCGTACTAATAGAATATTCGGATAGCAGCTAGATCTGTTAGAGGATCGTTTTCACCGCCAGTGTTTTTTTTTTCGCCCTCACCACAATCGTCCGAGTTTCGACACGTCTCTCGGCCGGTATACCATTCGATGCCGAGATTTTCGCTCCATCCGGTGATACGAACTCGACGCATTTTCGGGGGACAACGAAAACCTCGAATTCACGAAGAATCCGCGAGATACGTAACCGACAATTATCACGGGGATCCGATATTCAGAACGACACCGTTGTTGGTCATCTGTCGTACGACCGGGTTCTCGGTTGAACGGTTTGTTATGAAAACGGTCTTGCGGCCAGTGCAGTTTATCTTACCGAGCAATACACGCACATGAGATCCTGGTGAACAGGAAATTGTCCAAAGCGAACGCTTTACCACATCATTGTTTGCATTGAACATTTACGAGTAAAAAAATGTCACGAAAAGTCTCATGAAATTGATGTACGATGTCGGCCGATTCCGGCAATACACCTGCGGTGGTCATAATGTTTTACTGGATTTTTAAGAATTCTTGACGTTGCAGTTGTTTGAAAACAACAGAATACGTGATAGAAACACAGATAAGAGTTTTTGTATATTTTGCATGTGCTGTACAGATTAAAATTCAAACGGTGTTGAAATTCGAATCATACCTCATTGATTGTGATTTCTGAACAAAATTTGTGTATAGTATGTAAAATCATTATACAATAATTGAAATCTTGGTTAGGCAATAATGCCGAAATGTTTTGGTCGATTTTGGTCGATTTTTCTGTCATATATTTTTTAGAAGTCATCGACTAAAAATGCGTAACTAATCTTTTAATTCTTTTTTTTTTTTTTGATTTGAAATACAATTTTATTACTGAGTACACACTTTATACTTATGACTGACAAAATAACAAAAAAAATACGTATACCTTTAAGCTGAGCTTATGGTGGTGTACCGAGTACATATAGGATTAAATTATTTTATATACCATAAATAATAAATTTAGATATAAACATAGTATCGAAGTCGGTCCGAGTGAAAATATGATAAACGAACTAAAACGGAAAATTACTTTTTAACTCCGGAGCGTTTCGGTGAAACCCGTCGTCACTGTTCTCTAGAGACGGAAAGAGATTCATAGTAATATACGAGATACCTATTTTAGTCATCAAATGGAATGCCAATTAAATATTATGGTATGGCACAGATAGATGTTTGAAAGACATCTCCGTTTACCTATTTGTTTGTTTTCCAATGCAATTGTTATTGTAATCGTTCTGCTTATTCGAAACGAATAATAAACCTAATATTATGTATATTATTCATGACGTTGTGATAGAATCCGAAACATTTTTTTATTATAGATTAGTGTTCCCCAACGTTTATGTTGCTTGAAACGAATAAATGGGTTGATATTAAATTAGCATTGTTTTTTTTTTTTTTTTTTTATATTATTGTGATAAATTATACTGTTCCTACTTTCGGATAGTTTATGTAGAAAGTTTTGATTTTAGAATGCAAACGATATTTTTTATACATTATTTTCGATTTTCTTTGTAGTTTTGCCGATATGAAGAACAAAAACTGAATGAGAAAATCTTGGAAATAATGTTAAATTTTGTTCTGCAGTAAATGTTCATACGTATTTGTATAAAAATTAATTATTTTGATTTACGAAAATAATTACAATAAAACAATATTTGTAAGTGTGAAATTATTTAATGAAACGGGCGTTACTCAGAATCGTTATTCAAATTCAATTACTATTACCGCGTTGGTTTCAAATTTTTTATTGAAACACATGTAATGCTACGAATGATTTACACTCGGAACCAACGAAACTTTGAGACCGATAAAAGTAATCGTTTAAAATAATAACCTGTTTTAATACGGTCTCAAAGTCTGAAATAATCGTAGTAAGCGTGGGAAATCAATATCGTTATCGTTTTTTATAGACCTATATGATGTAAATGAGCACATTTATAAGTAAATGCAAGAAAACTTGTAATCCGGTCAAATGTTAGAATTAACAATATTTTATGAACTTACAAAAGCGGTAGCCGAAGACATATACGTCGCGGTCAACGGAATCATTGCGAACACTGTGAGCTAGACGTATATTTTGTCTTTTCACGTCGCAACAGATTTTTATCCGGTACGATTCGTGCGCATTCGCGTCTTAACGCGTATTCGAACAAATTTAATACATACTTGAAAATGCACACGTACGGAATGTGTTCAATACGAAACGCGAACGTAACACGTGGAAATCGATTCGCGGGACAAAACCGTACACCGAAAGCTGACGCGCACCTTGGTCGTCCGGTAAACATTCTCACGCGCTCGACTAGGTCGCGGTGAAGGTTTAATAAAATCGTGTTGGCCGACAGTGAAATATCAACGTCGAAAACGTACGTTTGTTTGCGGAACGATGTCAGGTTGTGTTCGAGGCGGGCGTGAAGTGTTTACCGGAACACGACGATAACAGCCGCGTAACGTCACCCATGCGACCGAGTGGGTCACAGGGGCGGGTTTTATCCCTCACCAAGGGAGGAGCCAATGGAGGTTCAATAATTTAGTTAGGTTATTTTTTAAATCTATATAAAATTTTAAGCAATAGAATATGTTTTTGAGTCCCTCATGAGTAAATCATTTTTTTCATAATGGTGAGAAATTTTAAATAGTTACATTATTGGTATTAATTTTAATCTGAAACCATTTTGAAAATATAAGTATACACATATAATTAACAACAAAAATAAGCTATTTATTTATAAAAAAATATATAAAATAGGTACCATATTCATCAATGACGATTGACGATATTTTATAATAATTATTAATATATCAATATATCATAATATTTGGCTTTGTAAAATAGTTAGCTTAGTTCTAAGGGGGGAGGGGGCTATTGTATCCTTAGTCATCCCCTTAAACCCGCCCCTAGTGGGTCGACGGAATCAAAACCCATGACCACGTTCATCGTAGTCGGGGTTCACTCATCGCGCGCCGATATCGTTGACCGTCGCGTATTATTTTACAGCAACAACAGTAATGATTAAAATGTATTTATTTCAAAACAATATAATGGATTTAGAAAAAAATAACCACTTGCTTTTAAGCTAAAACCAATAATAAGCTACAAAAATATCGTGAATATGCTAAATTTGCAGTATTTAGGAGGGAACGGTTGAGTTCTAATTTAATATTTAAAATTTAAAATACTCAATAAAACATAAAGATTGATGATTCGGTTTGAAGTCGAATAATTTGATGTCCATTCCCGCAACTGCAGTTCACGTGCACTGATTAAAAAATAACAATAAATTCGTTAAACTTTATTTGTATAGAGTTCTTGGTCGCGTTATATTCTCGTATACACTCGTGTGCACGTAGTTTATTACAACGAATTTATTCCGACGTAGAATATTGTAATAGTACAATGAAACCTCCTTATAACGGGAAACTAGCACAGTCCCGTTCCTAATACAAACTAACATGATCTGTCTGTGGCGGAAAAGAAAACATTATTGTTTAAACGAAAACAAAAATCTCTCTTTAAGCCGAAAAATATATTTAGTAAATATATTTCAAATGTTATACACCAGAACCTCATATAAAAAACGTATAATAAGATGGAAATACATGATTTTAAAATGGCAATCTCGAGTTTTAAAGAATTACTTATGTTTCGACAGTCATTTTTTTTTCATACGATGAGTTATCGGAACGAACTACAAAAATTCGATAATGTGTCCGCATGACACATGATTTAACCCTTGATCGTCGAAATTGAACAAATTTTATAAGTTATTTTTCTAAACTACAAATAGCTAATATTACAATTCAGTTAAAAATAATACATTTAAATAAAATTTGATTTAGTGCCCATATAGTCCGAACTTTTTTCTTTTTTTTTTCACATTTATTTCGTAACTGTACATAAAATTTATCGATAGTTTTAACATATATATATTCTATCCTACTTTCGACGACAATTCGTCCATAACGGAATAATCCGGTCGGTCCCGTCGTAAAGGGTTCTTGATGCACAGCAACAAGTGCCATTGACGACGGACAGAACTGCGGGGCACGGTGTGTACATGGTGTGCGTATTGTATACTCGAGTGAGTAGTACCAAATGTAATTGTACGTTCTGTTACAATTTTTTAAAATTATAGGGCGATCGAAATTCTCGATGTAGCAAAAATGGGTCGACATCTCGATTTACCGTGCTCTGAAAGTGTGAAATTTATGAATTGTTGTGATTTTACGCTGTGAAATCGAGATTTCGACACATTTCTGCTACCTCAAGAATTTCAATCTCCCTGTAAATTTAAAAAAAAACGGTGACCGAACGTACAATTACACACCACTCGAGAGTGCGTAGAGTGCGCAATACATATATCTGTATTATACTACATCGCTATATTATCGCGCGAACGTATATTTCTGTTATCATCTAGTTATCGTTGTCGTTTCGGGTCTCGTTTCAGCACATCACAATGGGACGTCATTGTTTTCCGGGTCGCGCAGTGTGTCGCGACAACAAGGGGGTCCCTGGACAGCCGTTGACGGTATTGGCTATGCGCGGTGGTTACGAGAGGTGTTTTCCGAGTGTTATAAATCGGACGTAGAGAGTTGTCACGAAATTGTTATCGGTTTGTAACGTCTCCGGTGGAAATTATCAATCATCGTCGCGACAAAGAATATCGCTGATCGTATTGTCTCCTCTGCAAGAGTATTGTTCGTGTAAACATCATTTTTCAATGGATGATCCATCCGCCGCTGCACACGCGGTGCACATTTGTTTATATATTTAGTCGCGTGGACATATCACTCGTTTCGAAACATTGCGGCGTATATTTGATTAGCAAAGACATTTCGTTGTTTCATTGTTTTTCAAATTTTTAGTAGACCTTTGTGTTGCGTAGAAGCGATGTTCGCGAGCGTTATATTTAAATGTTTTAGCCTCAACAATAATTAGTAATCGGATACATAGAATTTTGAAATCGATTATAATAATATAATATAATATTGATTTTAAGTAGAGAAAAAATTGATATTATTACGATGAAAAAACAATCAAATTTGTTTTCGTAGAACTATTACTACAGGTTTATAGTAAAATATTGTAACGACTACTATTATCCAGAAAATATCTTGAGTTTGAGTATTTTATGGTTGAATTGTTCGCCGGATTGAAGCTGATGGAGTATCGTTATTACTATTTATATTATTATTTATATTGTAGTTTATTTTTTAGTTATAATTTTTTTTTCCAACAAAAATGTTATTGGCTTAGGTTAAAAACGAAATAGAATTCTGTTTGGATCCGTTAAACTTTAGTAGTTAAAATAAAATTTTCTTGGAAATTAAGACTCGCGTCGTTTTAGAATTAAATTTCGCTTTCTTGTTATATTCGAGACCAGACATACCAAAACTATTATCGGATCTTAATTTGATATAAATTTATTTAGCGCATAGGTCGGTATTATTGTGTTTCATGGTATTGCCATTGTTAATTTTAAGAATTTACGGAAGAATTTACGCCGTTCTATCGTTAAAATGAATAACGCCTACGCGGACGCCACTATAATACGTCACTGTTATAACCGTTTGCGTGATAAAAACTGTTTCGTATCAAAAGAATGTAGAATTTCTGTCTTTGAAAACGAGTTCTGGTCAAGTTGAACGCAAATGATCATTGCGATGTCTAGCGACTGTGCCTATGCGTAGGCACTACCGATTTTATCAATAGGATAGCGTATCTGTGCCTACTAAAACCAACTGTTATATTTCAGTTAAGTCAGGAGCGTACTCAGGAATTTTTTATGGGGAGGGTTCAGAAATTTTTATTTTATCTGATAGGTGGAAATTATAATACACTATACACTATTATTATACTATTTATTATTAAATCGTTGAGTATGTAGAAATTTCAATGGGGGGTCCGAACCCGAACACCCCCCCCCCCCGTTGGGTACGCCTTTGAGTTAAGTCTATCGAATAACTTGAAGAGCGTCTTAGAGCAATCGTTTGTGTTGATGTTCCGTGCACTCAACATGCGTTTGTAATAATTAGAAAAATGTATAGATAAACGTCACGTTGGGCGCATCGTTGATCGTAAATCCCGGTAGTCCGTTACGTCCTATACGTAATAGGATTAAGCGTCAAAATAATAATTAATATCTTATTTTTCACGACGTACCATTACGTGATAATTGTTAATGGATATGACATGTCACGCTGTCACGCTGGTTTAGCCCCGGCGAGCCACTCAATAATGGATTTTAATGACATTTTAATTCCCAAACGCCGCCCGCCACCATCGGCACCGTTCACGTCGGTCAAACAATCGCGACGTAAAGAAAAACGATTACAATGATTATGTTTTCCGTCTCGAATCGCGTTCACGGCCGGAGCGCAGTGTAATATCTATGGGCATAAAATATTTCGACGGACGTCAAATCTCATTGTCATCCTCGGACGTTTATCCGTCGGGACTATAGAAATGTCCTGAAACGGCTCGAGTGCATCAGTATATTGAATAACGGTGACAGGTCGACACAAAACCACGCACTGTAAGTAACTAAACATAATAATACGTAATTATAACATCGCACATGTAATTCTCTAAACACACGACACGTTGGAGGCGTACGTTATCATATGTTATTCTCATCAATTATTCGTTTTTGCCGAACGGCATTGATTGTCATCGAAATACCATTTGTGTTCGAAAACGATCGTCGAATATTGTTTTCCGTAATGTTGTACTGCAACAGCGAGCGCTTCATTTTCAATGCGATACTATGAATTATTCTCATGATATTCTATTATATATATATATATATATACAGGTATATTTAAAGCTTAAAGCGTAAAGTAAAAATGTTTTAAAACAGTAAAGTCTATATAAATTTGAAAACGTTTTTAATTATATTGTTTTTAATTTTAATATTTCATATCTACATGGATATTTGGGGTGGAAGGGGGGGGGGGGGGGGGGGGGGGGGGGGGGGGTGGAAGGAGATTGGTTTAACGTAAGGCATTTGCTGAATAGTACAATAAAAGTTTTTGACGTTAAAAGAATCGCCATGTACAAACAGTATTATCGAAATACGTTGTTACTTTAAGTTCTGTAGACGATTATAATATTATGAGTACCACTAGAAAAGTACAATGAAGTTTTCTTTTATTTAAACTTTTATTCGAGTGCAGTAAAGAAAGGTATCATAACTCCGGATGTCGTAACCGAATTCGATATTGTTGTCCATAATTCATCCATAAAATTTGAAAACAATACCCTTAACAGCTAAAATGTTGTAGAGTAAATGTATTCTTCCGATAAAATAAGTTATTTTGTACCAGGAGTGTTATTTAAATATTAGTACTTAATAATTACTTTTTTGTTGACTTATAATATTATAATATCTAAAACCTCGCGTTTTATTACTGCAATAAAATTCGAATATTCACGTATAATATTATTCTCGTGTAGCGTTTATAATATATATAATTACAAAATTATATTATACATTATTATATATACGTGCATAAATTATTTAAAAGAAATACATTTTTTTTCAACGCGTATATTTAATATGGAATTTATAAACATATTTAAACGATTTGCGTTTATGATGTTATATTGTTCGAATAACGGGATAAAATAAACGTTGATAAGGTCTTAAAAGCATCATGTAGTATAAGGAATTACGATTGAATTTATTTCACGAATCATAAAATGGTAAATATAAAAATATAATATTTTTGTACACAAATACGTAGTACACCGAGGAGTTGGTATCCTGGGAATATAAAATATTTGTTTTGGTTAGCTAATTGTATTTTATTTTCTATAACAATAGTTTTGTGTGAGGTCCAACGTAAATCACGTAAACAGTTAATTGAATCGCGTTTCAACAAGATACCATATTCTAGTGTTTGGAAGAATTTTCAAATATTTCATATTCGAGGTTTGTTGTTTTTATTTAAAAAAAAACAAATTTACTATGTTCAATTAAATAAGTCTGGAAAAACGTACACTCTTCGAAGAGCTTAATATTTTTAATTATTTCATAATTGTTAATTGTTTTCGTTGCGTCTGACGGCATATCAAAAATTGCGAACCTGATCGGACGGCTATGGTTCGTCAAAGAGTTAATAGCAATGCACGTTTCTCACATTTTGACGCTCCGAACGAAGTATTAGGAACTGTATAACCAGTGGTGGATCCAGGATTTTATTTTTTAGGGGGGGGGGGTTGAAAAATGTTTTCCCTTGGGATATTTTTTTTAACATTGCAATCAGTGATTGATAATGAATTAAGATATGAGTAAGTAATATAATACATTCATTTAAATCTAAGACTACTATTTTCTTGTATGAATAAAAATACAAATTATATACTTTCCTCGTACTTTAAAAAAAAAAAAATATTTTTCTTAATTCATAAAATTATTGATATTTAATATATATTTTTCCTGATTTGGGGAGGGGGTTAACCACCACCCATGTGGATCCGTTACTGAGTATAACATAACGTGTTGAATCCACATTTCATGTAACGTCCGAACAATTTCATTCAAACGCTTTTGCGAAAAGTATAACAACAGTTCGAACGCAAACGGTCTCGTCGAAATTGAGCTTGAATGACGAAAGTGGTTTTACCGTTTCAGATGAACGGCAACCCGTTACCGTTGGAGTCGACGATCTACGCGGCGATCGTTCTGCTGTTGGCCGCGTGGTTTCACTGGAGATGGAAACACAGATATTTCCTAGACCTGGCCGGAAAACTGCCGGGGCCTCCGTCCTATCCGTTCTTCGGCACGACTTCCATGTTCACGCACTCGTACGATGGTAAGAGGACTAAAAACAATCGTGTAAAACATTATACATAAGTTGTGACGTCGAAACGCTGGAAGATTCTCTGGAGACTTCGAGCGTTGCTGTTCCGTTTTTCATCCTAGTTTTTCCCGTTTTGTTTCCCGTACAGAGACGATAGCGAAACTCAAAGAGAACGCGGAACAATACAACTACGAGCCAGTGGGGACGTGGATAGGTCCAATACATTACGTTAGCGTCGTCAAACCCGAGGATATACAAGTACGTCATGTGTAGAGTAATAATAACAATACTAATAATACTACTAGTAATAATAATAATAATAATAATAATAATAATAATAATAATAATAATATCTTTGTACACATTTTGTGATGTGAATAGGAAATATAAAAAATTATTCAAACTGTAGTCGAAATTATTGTGTTATGAAAGCGATATAAGGTACGGACGAATAGACCGTATATTATATTCTTATTATACCTGATGGAAATTATTTACTGTTTTGCATCGCGGAACCGAAGTTTAGTCAGGATACAGTATGTGGCGCTCGTAAAGTTATAACCCCTTATACAAGTTTCTAAAATAAAATATAATATTTCAAAGAAAAAAAAAATTTTCAAATGTTTCAAATAACGTTTCTATAAATTAATTTGTAAAATTTTTTAAGTGTACCATAAGTTCTAAAAATGCATTAATAACAATTGTAATTATAGCAGTACTTAAAATTATGTAAAGATCATTCATGTTTATTTTTAATGTGAAATTGGAGATTGTATTTCGTTCTCAATTAAAGTAATGTGTGGAATGTTGTAGTTCGGATTGATAACATTTAATGGACGTGCTCTTTTGTCAATCACGATCCGTTAACTGAATTTCATTTAAAAAAAATACTTTTGTTCACATATTATATTCGTTGAGTCTAGACGCTATTTGCATTGTATAATTTCTGAAACTTTTACATAAGATTGTGAAATATTATTTTGTTCCATATTTCGAAATTCACCGGAACAAAAAAAAAAAATTCGTTTTCAACTCGATTAATTCTAATTGAAAAGGTGTTGACAGATTTTTCATGTAATATCAAAAATCCAAATAAACCACATCTTGCCTCATATCTTCGTCTTGTCTCACCGTCCCCTATAATATATATAAATAATAATACCTTATTCAAATATATTTTATACTTAATATATTTTTTAAATAAATATTATTATTTAAAACTATTTTAATTACTTATAAGTAAATTTATAATTGTTTATATAAATGTACATCAGTATACAAGTACAAACATTCAAAATATTCATGAAAATTTTCATTTAGATTATTGACAAACAAATTGGTTTGGAAACACGTCTACATCAAACAAACGGTCGACAAATGTTTTTTAATTTTTTATTAGGTGTGGACGCAGCTTTACATTGTCTTTACATTGTAAATAATTGATTTTCGGACACTATGAATAATACACAAATTATCTTGAACATCATAAATGTTGAGGTTTTAAGTTTATAACTTAAGCGTTTAGTAAACAGTACAAATATCGTATTTCGAACGTGAGAAAATAATGCTTTCGTTTTTCGCAATCGTATCGTATTTTTATTTAGTTCGTATCGTACTCGTTCGATGATATTATGTTTGTACGGTTATTTATCTATTGCAACGGAGTTGTCGTACATTAATATTATTTGTAAAATAAATATGAAAACCATTATTCGACCAGTTTTTTCTCGTTACCTTTTAAATTTTGATTTATTTATTCTACAGCACATTTTTCTCGTTAAAAAAACCTTGTTTGGGGGTTACTATAAATGCGACCCACCGGGACATAAAGTTTACGCCACTGAGCGAAAGCGATATATTTTCGGTATGTTTTTTCGCTAAGCAAATTGGATTCATGATGAATAAATTATTTGGCATTTAAGTTTTTTTTCCCCGTTTTTATTGCACATTGCGTGTGCAACACAAATAATAAAACCGACTCCGTAATGTTATATACTGATCTTCGCGTGTTCGGTTACACCGATCAGAATCGTGCAACTGTGTACGTCAAAAAAAAAAAAAAAAACAGCAACTGTCGAGAGTACGGAAGTTGTAGAAAATCGAAAAAAAAAATCGTTTTCATTTGTTGCAGTCGATGTCTGAACATTTTGATTTTCGAAATCAACTTTCGTGTTCGGAAAATCGATAGGAACGAAATCGTTTTCGTTTTATTGACTACGCGAGTGCTGATGCCACGAAAGTCGACGGACGGATAAGTCCGAAAAGAATTCTCGATTTTTCGTTTCAGCGCTTTAGGGCATTGTTGAACTTACGCGCTGGACTGGTTAGCCGTTTACCGATCGGTCCGGACCACGACGAGTGCCGCAAAGCTATCGCGCCCGGTATTTACACGGTCGAGCAGCTGTGGTCGTTTCTCGTACGGCGTATTTCTTATCTTCGATTTTCATCGTACGAAGATCGAACGCGCGCAGTATCGGGCCAGCGGACGCGGTGTGTTAAAAATAACACGAATAATAAATTATAAGTAATGTGCGAAAAACAACGATCATCTTGACCGAATCGCGACAGAGCCACAAACATCCAGCGTACACAGTATCACTGATAGGTAAGATCAATTAGATTTGCGTCGTGTGCGTGGCAGCCAATGTTGGGTCGGCCAGTGTTATGCGACGAACAAGTGGTTTGCGTACATATAGTCGGAGTCTAAAACACGGACCGTGCACGGGTTACGCGTCATCCAAACTCCGACCCGAAGGGTAGGGCGAATGTTTTTCAGTTTGACGCGAAACATGTCGAATTTCAAATCGATTCGCCTCAGGCCGGGGTCCTAAGTCGAAACCAGATCGTGACGGAAAAACCGACAAAAATGTTTGACTATCGATTTGAATTCGCAATTCGGGTTCTGCGTTCAACAAACGATTTTTAACCAACAACATGCTTTAACATCGACAACCGGTGCGTTGTACAGAAATACAATAATGGCACGTTTGCCACTAGGGACCGATAAATTCGCGATACATACGTGCACGTGTCCGTTTCATCATCGTGTCGATTACGGGTAGTCGTGTAATATTTTCAAGTTGATTGGCGACGAACTGGATCGGTTTCGTTGACTCCTGCTTACTCCACTCCTGTATTAAACAGTCGGGCGTGTCTGGAAAACCGAAAGCGTACGAGACGCGTACTAACGTCTACTGGTTAAAAGAAGTTACCTTTGTAAATTAAAAACGATTTACAACGTGGAATTCGAGCGCATAATATACGCCCGCAGACGTCGTCGGAATCCAACGGTTGCTTTACAAGTCGTACTCGATTTGTCGTGCCGATCGATGTGTTGCGACGTCGCCATGAACAAATACGAGATGGGAAACTTATGATAAGCTCGCTGTAAGAATATTACGTGGATAAACGCTCGAATATAACGAACATTATTGTGTTTCAATCACGACAATGGGATATTGTCGGGAACGCGCGCATAGGATAATTTTTTCACGCATATTTTCTCAATCACCATTTGCGTTTCCCGGGAGGAGGGAATATTTTTTTTTAACTTCATTATATATATCGGTCGCTCGACGTTTTCATAGTGCCCCCCTCCCCCCCAACGTGATTTGAGTATGTTTGTTGGGTACTGACGGATAATCGTTTGTAAATAATTCAAGTATTATACGACTAAAATTTGAGCCTTCTGTGATTTGAACTCTTGAATTCCATTCTGTATCCAAGTACTCGAGTCTTCACTCACTACCGTGATATTTTACTTTACATATGTATCGTATACATTTTATTATGAACCGAAAAAAATTAGCATTTAAATCATTTTGATGATTGGAATAGATATTATAGATAACTTGCCTCATACAAAAACGTTACAAACGTTCGCATAAGAATTTAACTATCTATTGTACGGTGAACTTGTTTGTGCGTGAACATTTTCGTGTCAAATCCTTTCAGTAATTGTCTTCTTTAAAATTTGATAGGTAGATTGGCGTAATATAAATTCGGTAATATTTATTATCGGTAAAAAAAAAAAAAATCAAAATCGAACTTGCCATATGGTATCGGAAACTTTACGTTATGATTTTGACGTGTGTGTCGGGTGAAAAGAGCGTGGTGCCGTAACAACACAAATATGTAAAAAAAAAAAAAAAAAACAAAAATTTAAATTGTATTGTGGTTAATACTCGCCGTGCGCATTTTTTAGACCTGATAATGATTTTTAAACCCAAACAGTAAATAATTACATATATTAAATAACAACACTTTGAGCGAGATATTTAATTTTTAATTTTATATGTTGTTAATTATATTTTGATATTGTAAAAAATATCATATAATATTTTATGGATTCTTTTTATATATTATTATATATTATTATATATTATATATGATTATTATTCTTTTTATAATAACTATAGTGATCACAAATGCACAGTTTATAATGCGTTTAGGAATGTTATACTTGTATTTGTTTACTTGTACGTAGGCGGCACTCGTCTAAAAATGTCTAACATATTATTATAATAATGACATTAATGTAAATAATATGATTTTAAGATTGTATTGAATAATTCGCGGGCGCTGGAAAAAGGTCAACTATACTCGTTCCTGAAGAGTTTGCTCGGCGAAGGCTTGCTGACGGCTTCAGGTATTTATATAAGATTTACACGTTTTTACGTGCTGCAAAGTGCTGAGCAAATATCTTTAGCGGTGCTCAATTACACGCTCTGTTCCGAAACGATGGCAAGTACAATGTAATCTGTGAACCGTACCATGGATATTTTCTTAACATTTTTAAGTCAAAAAATTGTGAAAATATTGCGATAGTCGTTCGGGACTGGGTGAACAATAAAGTCGACGGACGAACTTATCGTTTATATTAATGTACTTGTATTGAACAATACTGTAATGATAATGATAAATATCATTTTAGATTAGTAAAATTAACGGATAAAGAATTACATTTAATGAAAATCAAGTTTTTTTTATATAAAAATTGCAAATGTCCGGTTATAATGGAGATACTCGTATATATATGGACATGGTATCATATTTTCAGCATAGTAAGCGTAAGCTGAACGCATTGATTCCATATTTCAAACAAATTCCATCCAAATATTTTAACCACATAAATAAACTATACGTTCAACTATTTTTGTGTAAAACGTATACCGTGCTGATATTTGTTTTTTCCCATGGATCTTCAAATCGCGTTTATTATCAGTGCACAATAAAACGAACGATTTTAGATCAACCAACCCTGAGCCGTACGCTCGAACCTGTTACTAGACATAATGTTTGTGATTTCGATTTACCGTCGTTTACAGTGGATAGATGGCGAAAACACCGTCGCATAATATCGTACGCGTTCAACGTAAAGTTCTTGGAGCAGCTGTACCCGGTGTTTAACGAGAAGAATAAAATACTGGTGGAAAACCTTCGAAAAAATGTCGACTCAACACAGCCGTTTGACCTCTGGGACTACATTATCTCGACCACTTTCGATACCATATGCCGTAAGTATAATCACGGTCATTTACGTTTCGTTTGTTTTCAATCGTATGACACTTTGTTCACGGTAAGTGCGTGATGTTATTCCCGCGCCTACGTATTAACGCGTTTTGATACACCTGAAAATGGTAAATTAATTTAAAAACAACGAACCCGAAACAATTAATATAAACGATATACTTGCAGTACGGTTATGGCCGCAATAAAATATAATGAAACGGGGAATACAATTATTGTAGCAAATATGTATTGTTGAGGCCGAATGACAAAATAGTTATCGTACGAAGAATGCATAGCTCTGACCGAGGGATTGTTTGAGACGGTTGGAACCCGACTGAGCACGATTGATCTTTTTCGTAACCCGACTGAGCACGGTTGCAATCAAACAATAGAAACCAAAAAAAAAAAACACCCCAAAAACTACACGATTGAGCGCGAAAATGGGTGCGATTTTGCCGCTTTGTACGCTTTGTAGAATATAATTTCAATAATTTACCATTTTTTCTAATCCCAATAAACCTATACTTGAAAGCTCCAACATTGGCTAACTCTTTGCCTCTCTCGGACAAAATACTTTTTATTTCATTGTTTTCCATTTCAATTTGTAAAATACACGTTATTTAGGAATACAACACGAGCACACGAGAAAACAGAACGGACTGGCTATTATTTACAACGTAGGTATATACAATAAAAGTTCAATCGTTGTAGATAAAATTCTGGTTTCCTATCTATCAAAATTATTTTAAACTTCCGTGGTACCCATTAATCGATAGCGACATTTTTTTCGACTAATAGTTTAATATAATACTAATAGCTGCCTATTGATAATCAACATACAATACAATACATACTAGTAAAAATCTGACAACGTTATACACAATATTTTTTTTTTACCGTGCTCAACCGGGTCGTCAAAAAGATCGGCCGATAATAATCGTACTCAATCGGGTATCACGGGTTAAGACGGTTGATCGGAAGGCGAAACGATTCACGGAATTCCGCTGTGGTCGTTTCGAACACGCAATCTTATAAGCTCAAGGATCCGGGATGAGTCAACCTTATCTTGGAGTAGATTAAGCAAAAAGTAATTGATCCCTATTCAGTAGGTTATTTTCACTTGAATCGAGCTTTTAAAGCATCCACGACTGGTTTATAGTGACACTGAGGGTGGTCAACTTTAAATGCGATATTATTATGATCATTGCGATACAGCGTTAAGACTTGTCTAGATGAAAATATTAACTATCTATTATTATTATATCCATATGGAAATTTAAACGTTATAATTTTTTATTAATCTAGATATAGACATATTTATTTTTTTGATGTAAATTATTTAATTGTAATTACGAAAATATTCAATAATGAAAACTAGTTATTAAAATTAATACGATTGAAAAGGTATCTAATATGTTCTCCCAGATTTCGACGAATATTTATATCCAAATGAATAACGACCAAATTTAACTATTATTTACCACAGATTTATTTATGTATATTTATTATATATCTAAGGGATTCATCAAGAATAACCATAAAATAATGACAATAATAGTTTTTTAGGTAATGGATAACAATTAACAATCGTTGCCGTTGTAATCTACTGTTTCTTGGTAAAACTTAAAATATTTTTGACAATAAATCCTTCGATTACGTACATCCGGGTTTAACGAATTGAATAACACTGCTACACGCGAAGCGATTTATTTTAATTTTAATAAATTGTAATATAACGTGACGCGCTAAACGGCCGAACGGATAAGCTATCCACCACCAATAACCGTTCGTCACTCTGTCACGACATTGTTGTCCGTAATGTTTACTAAATTAATGACAGTTGTAAAATATGAAACGTTTTTTGGTGGCTATATCTTATGCCGATAAAAAAGAATTAAAAAATACTACTTTGTTCTAAAGTCATACAATGCCAGATAGTTTTAACTGGACATTTTCTTAGCCATAAAAAAGTATGTTTTAACATTTTCTTTCAAACAATTAGATTTATAAAAATTATTAGCTTTTAAATAATAATTATTAGTGGTCGTCTCTCCTTATTAATGAATTATGAATATACCAATAACTTAGTATTTTAATTTAAAATGGAGTTAATAATTATTTTGATACTTAACGACTGACATTTTTTTGAAAACTACACCGATTGTTAAAAAAGAAATAAGTAATAAAGGTAATTTAAATTTAAATAAATAGTTCACAATAATCGTTGAACAAAAAAAAAAAGAATATATACAATCGTATTGTAAAGTATTTATTTATATTTATGATAACAATTTATTGATTATAATCTGAGTTATCGTTGTATTTCCCTTGTTGTAACCAATATATCTTTATTTATATTTTTGATATTGATTTAAAATTAAATTAATAAATTTGCTAATAAAAAAGTGCGTTTTAATCATAAAAATATGTTATGTGGTTTATTTTAAAAAGACTGTTTTTTTACGATGGTACACCGTGCAAATCACATATTTTTGACAGATAGTGTTTTTCCAGCACAATCGGTTGTGCCGTCGTTTCATACCACGTTAGTTAACGCTTAAATTCAGAAATAAATAGATATTAGCAAATATTTATTTAAATTTTTTATTCTAAACATAAAAAACATTATAAAATCAAGATACATTTCAAACGCCTCACACAAATACATAATGTTTTACACATGATAGTTCTAATGATTTTTTTTTATAGTAAATTTAATATAAAAACGTTGTTTTTTTTAAAAATTACCCGCTTTTTATGTAGATAAATTATGATTATCTTTTAATTTTTATAAAGATAATATTATTTGAGCTTATTTTTATCTTTATCTACTTATAAATAGATTTTTAGTATACCATCTTTATCTGGGCTCAATATTGTTTCGATATAATCGAATGGTTTTCGTTTCTATTTCTCCAATCCTTTGCCCATTATTTTACAGTAAGGACGGAATAAAAACCGTCAATCTCACGGCTGCCTTTTGTGTTGTTTTTTTAGAAACCGCAATGGATTACCGCATAAACGAAAAACACAACAAAACCGAATTCTTAGACCTGATGACCACGTAAGTATTATGCCGCGACGATGTGTTGCCGTTCGGATTGTATGAACATCATAAGGTTTCAGAATCGCTGACCAACTCGTGAAGACCGTCAACAGACCGTACTTGTATCCCAGCGTGACGTTTTCGGTATACAAGTTTTTGAGCGGTCTCGGCACCAAGCTCCACATGATCAATAGACTCCCGTTGCAGGTGAGGGGAAAGCGAAATGTATATTCGTATATATTCCGACGGTTATCATTCGATTTAATAATAATGGTCCGTGTTTTTGATGTAGCTGATCGACGAGAAAAGGATCGACTTCCGCGCAAAAATGAAAACGTCGAAATCGAATCCTCCCGAAGAGTTCCCGATCGAAACGAGTACGGAGACTCAGAAGTCATGCGTGAACGCTATGTTATATGGGGACGGTTAGTGTTCACTTTTCGTTTTAACTTTTTTGTTTTCAGAAAACAAATTCAAAACATTCATCGACACACTGTTGGAGGCCAGCGAAAACGATCCCGATTTCACCGACGCTAACGTCCGGGATGAAGTTATTACAATGATGTTCGCGGTAATAAACACAACTCGAAACCGTTTTCTCATACGACGATTCGTGTTATATTATAATTATAATTTGTATGCGAATTCCGTTAGGTTTTATTCATACGATCTGTCCAGTTGTAAACAAAAATGTACCATGACGATGGTAAAAACACGATCGTTTTAGAATGACAATTTTTCTTTTACAGTGCAACGTAACTGCACATATTCTTTCCGCTATCGATTGGCATTACGCTCCGCTTGCCAGTATTCATGTAACCCTGGTACCGTTGTGTATTCGAATAACCCGGTCGGTAGGCTCGATCTCCGACGTTTTTTATTCTCCCCCGTGCAATATTTTATCTCGTAAAAACTACTTAAAAAACTCGATTACCGCTGGTGCATTAATTTTTAAGTTTTTACTATATTGCATTTTTTCGTATTCGATAGAATACACTTTTTAGCAAATTAAAAATTCCTTAAACGAAGAAGGGTCTGGGACCCGTTGGAAATAATGGGAGTTTTTGTGCTTCGTGGTAGTCAGAATTTTCAATTTGTTTATAATTTTCGATTATACGAGTAGTGATGACACCATGGCGAATTGGCGAGTAAATTATTCATACCGAAAAAACACTTTTTACAGCTTTTTCAAAATTTCATCTAGTTTAAATTCAATAAAAAATATCTTTGGGTCGTTAAAATGGTTTACCAAAACGATGTCTTACCCGTTGGGAAAATGTGTTAATCTTAATTTTGCTCCAAACACGAGTTTTGACAACAATTGTTTTTAATTGTTTAAAAACAGAAAATTGAATGGACGTTCATCGTACTAATAATACTAACCGAACTTTTTAGAGCTCGTCGGAAAACGTTTTTTTTGACTCGGACGGATTTTGTGCATGGTTAAAAATTACGGATGTATAATATATGAAAACCACAAATACAGTAAAATAATTATTTGTTTAAACTTTTAAATCTATATTAGCTTTATCTCAACAATCGTAAAAACATCCATATAAGTATGTTATGAAATATGACGTAATAATGAAATATAAATTAGGATGTAGATGTAGGATGGTTTGTATGCGATATCTCTGTACAGTAATGGTTAGAAAGTCAATTAGTAATGAGATTATATAGCACTATAGATTGCAAACTATTGAGAATAAATTTGTGAACTAAAATTAACAAGAACTAATACAAGGTACGTCGTTGTATTACAGCTGTAAGAATAGTGAGTGACGGGGAGGGGGAAGATAATCAATATTATATTTTTTTTGTAACGAATGATTTAATAATCTCGCTCGTGGTACACTGTATTCGCGCGTGTGTTTCAAAGGGCAGTGACACCAATGCTACGACCGAATGTTTCTGCCTCCTGATGTTGGCCATGCACCAAGATATACAAGTACGATAACCTCGTATTAATATTATTGTTGTCTCGTTTCGTGGCAAGCACACCTATGCGAGGCGACTGATTGATTCGAAAAAACAAAAAAAAAAAAAAAAACATTTGTCCTTTCGCAGGACGAGGTCTACGACGAGATATACAATGTGGTGGGCGATAGCGACCGCGAGATGACTCCCGAGGACACGACCAACCTGGTGTACCTGGAGCAGGTGATCAAAGAGACGTTAAGGATGTACCCGATTATATCAGTGTTTACTAGGCAGCTAGCCGAGGACATCAGGGTCTGTGAGTATCGGATGACTGAACGGTAGCCATGGACGTAAATCTGAGATGCAATTTTAGTTTTTTGTAAGGTGATGAAAAATTTAACGAGACTAACGTCCCTCTTTCGGTTGATTTTTATCTAACGTAGCAATTGTAATTTCGAACCATTTCGAAATAAAAAAAAAAAAAGTTGATAATTTTATCTTAAAGACTAAGATAAAAGCCTGAAATAGAAATGAAAAATAGCTAGACTCGTTTTGAATAATATTTGCAAAATATTGTGAGCGCACACCTCGTTCGTTTTTCTCGAATGGCACTTCCGACATGGATAGGAGGATCTCAGGAGGGCTACACCTAGGGCTTATTTTAAGGTGCACAAAACTTAAAACTCAACCCTCTCCCCATACTCTCAAAAATATTATTCTCCGTGTATTATTATAAACCCCGCTGCCGTCGTGCAATAATATTGTGGTAATAAAATAATAATAATAACAATAACACAGTCTTAATAAACCTAATCTAATGATTGACGGACCCTCTACCTGCGCACTCGGCCACGAAGTCGATAAATACAATTTATTATTGTGAGAAATTTTATTTATAGATAGTATTTACAACTGCCCATTTTTTTAATTAGAGCTGCGTATTTTTAATTTAGAGTTACGCAAAATATGTTCAAACGCACGTTAAAACAAGCTCTGGCTAAACCCTTACTGAGATGTCGACGGGTTAGGGTTAGCCTAACCTTAGGGGGAACAGAAGACATACACTCATTTCACCTACCTAACTTACGCATTTCAAAAGCCGCATTTGCGTCCATGGCAATACCGGACGGTAGGGCCGTAGCGCTCATCCGCTGGTGTATTTGTTTCCGGTCACAGCCAACTACGTGCTGCCGAGGGGCGCTAGCGTGACCATATCGCCGATAGTCACGCACCACTGCCCACACCTGTACCCGAACCCCGGCGTGTTCAACCCGGAAAACTTTAGCGTGGAGAACGTGGCCAAACGGCACAAGTACAGTTACATAGCGTTCAGCGGAGGCCCGAGGGGATGCATAGGTGAGTGTAAATGTGCGGCCGTGGTATAGTCCCGTGCGAATGTTTATTGTTCACCCTCAAGTCTTTGGAGTTCTTGTGGGCGCGATGCGATATTCCAGGGTTGGCCTGCAACGAGACTCGTGAGCCGCATGCGGCTCTTAAGTCAGTTTTGTGTGGTTACTGAATTCCGAATTTGGACTAAAATTAATAAATATAAAATGTTGTTAGAATCGTTAGAAACATTAGATAGTGTTTTTACTGTGGTCGGTTTCGTTATCATTACAGTCGTTATTAGGTTATAAGATTGGCACGGTGGAGGTGCTTTTGGATGTGCAGCCAAAATATGTCTTAATTTTTTAAACATAGATTTACAATGTAGCTCGCCTCGAATTAGCTTTATAAATTTTCAGCTCCCAAAGTTGAAGTTAGTGGCCACCCCTGCAATATTACATGTTCGAGGCGCAACAGGACCTCGTTTTACATTTTCGACGGTAATAACACGTGACACCACGTTCAAAGGTTCCTACGGCAATATAAAACACGTGGACAGTTGTATCGGTAAACGATAAAAAAAAACCATACATTTTCGATAGGCATTCCGAATCGATGATATTTCCAGTCATCTCGTGAATCGCTTGGACATATGATAATAATGATTCAAGTGAGTCGCAACCATATATTTTTTTTTTGTTCCAAAGCCAAAATACAAGGGATGAACGTTTTATTAATGATTACAGTGACGTTTCGGAGATGAAATAGAATTCACCGGTTTATAATATTGACCACATTCAACCTCTGTAAGGTTTTTCGAAGTTAATTTCCAAATTCGCGTCAAGACTTGAGACTTATACAATTTCGATTATCGGATAGGAGTGAAACCACGAGAAAGTTCACAGATTAAGAAATAAGTGTGGTTTCACAAAGACTTACGTAGTTTTACTATCCGTTGACAGATCAGTTTTCAATAGCAACTAATCTGCAATATTTCCACGAAGTCTTTAAACTTTCTTCTCGAAGTTGACGGATTTATTTTATATTTTTTTATTCTTCTTATAAATTGACGTAGGAGAAGAATATAGAATTATTAGTTACCGTGCAATATGTATAGTATAATATTGCTTTTTTTTTAGATCCATTATTTCAAGAATTAATAAAATAATTAACTCAACCACATTAAGTTTGTATAGTATTTTTCACTTCTCGACGAAACACATTTATTTATAAAAATCTGCATTTGCGCGGATAATAATCAATGCGTTGTAAGAATTAACATAAAATATTTACGTGAATCAACGAAGATTCCAAATCTTACTTCAACCGTATTAAATTTTATCACTAGCGAAAAAAATTTAACAACGCTAACAACTGTCGATCGATTGTACGTCTTATTGAATTTTAGGCCGAATAAGTCTTTCGACGTACTTTTTTTTTTTTACAAAATATTAAGTGTGCAAATTTTTAATTTCGCATACCTTTTGTATCGAATACATGATATAACTATCGAAAGGCTAAAAAAATAACGATGAAGTGATTATAATGACGCTATCACCGACCATTGTCAAAGCGAACTTTACGTTTTATTTGCAACTCGTTTCATGTTGATTTTTGTAAGCTTGACAAACAGGTCATCGTATGTGTATTTTTATACATGCATAACACTCAGAACTTTTTCGAATAATATTGTGTCGTTTAAATGTCGCTTTTGGTTATCTAGTGCGCATCAATCGTAGTCATATTAAATATATACTTTACGGTTTACGCATCGTTATCAGCTGCCCAACAGATTTGTCGGTACGTTTCTGACACATTTTAAAAACGTTGACGGGAGGGAATAATAGTGCGGTAGGGGTTGATGTTATCGGGTCCAAAGGCCTCCTCAGGATATTGGTCTAACGAAACGCTCTGAAGCGGTGGTTTTCAAACTTTTCCCGCCTACGGTATTCTCTGTACAATGTTCACGGCACATGTCTCGACCACGAGAAACTTTCAAAGACTTTATTTTAAGTTTATTATTTGATTCCGGTTTTTTTTTTTCAAGACCGCGGTAGAGTACCGTGGAACTCAGTTAAAAAACCATTACTCTTATTGGCCCGTTTTAGGAATGAAGTACGCCATGATATCAATGAAGTTGATGGTGTCAGAAATTCTGCGCAACTTTAGCGTGCACACCACAGTGAAGCTGCAGGACGTTAAGATCAAAATGAACGACGCGTTTACCAGGAAAGTTGGTGGATATCCGATCACCGTGCAGCCCAGAGACAGGAGACCGTCGTACGTGCGGTGCAACACTCGTGTCGCATGATCAGATCGATGGGGACGAGTGAAAACATGAAAAACGACCCGAAAAACCGAATACACGTTCCACGATATCGGTGTTGTGTGTACGAAAAAACAAACTGTGTGTTGCACAATTATATACTTATAAAAAAAAAAAAAAATATTTAATAATTATTAAGTATTGTGGCGTTTTGCTGTTGTTTTCTAAAAGTTGTGCACTTCTAAATAAAAAAAAAAAAATAATAATAAAAAATAAATCACGTTAATAATACGAGCATAATATATACCGTATCAGTGGGATTATTTGAAACTTCGTTGGTATGATTATGATTCATAGGTACGGACCAACACAAACGTATGATATCAAGTGAGATTCCATTTTGATTTCCTATCACGCATGTTTGCTTATGATCAGAATAACTTCAACATGATAGTTTTATTTTACATAATACGCGTTGTGTAGTATGATTAAGAGACTACCGCGAATAGTTAATTTAATCTATTATGCAATACATGATGATAAACAAATTAATTCATCCGTAAAAATAAAAAGAAAACTTACACGAAGAGTTTACTAAAAACTTAAATTTTTCCAATGGGCGATAAAATTTGCATAGCAACTGAATTCGGATAGTTTTTTTTTCTCTATTTAATTATTGAGCAAAATATATTGTTCAGAAATATCATTGAATGGCGTATAATATTGGAAATAAAAATATTTTAAAAATATTTGACTGATGTAATAAAAAATTTGTCAAATGGATAACATAACGGTAGTCGTAAATTAATAATGATTTTTTGTATTGTGAACATAGCATGTTTTGATATAATATTTCGAATTCTAAAAAGATGATTGATAATAATTAAATCAATAATACAACTCAACATTTTGTTCAAAATTCGAAATAAAAAATAAATAAATGAATGGATCAAAATTGATAAATTGCACTTGATTTATGTATTTATGTTTAAAACAAAGTTAACGCGCTCAGGCGTGAATACAAATTTTCATTTGTATAGAGGAGGTGGTGTTTCAAATTGTGGACTGCGATTAACATTTTTATCCTTTTTTTAAGGAGGTTTAAAAATGTATGGGGGTCATGACATGACCGCTCCTCCCCACCCTTGACTACCTCTGAATGAATTAGACAGATGAGAAGCTAACGAATTAACTCGTGCAACTTGAAACGTATTCAGTTCGTCGTATGGTTGTAAGTCAATGTCCGTGCCTTGCAAGCTTGTACATTTCTATAATACCAGCTATGTAGTTAAGGTCAATGTATAACAACGTCCAGGAGAAAATGACGAATTCCCAATAATTTTCTACCGTAGAATTCGAGGTGAAAACTGGCGCGTTAATGCTTCTATTCATCACGAACTATTTGTAAACGAAGTGGTGCAATGGAAACGAGACAACTTCAAACACCTTTATAATGTAAACAAGTCTTCACATTCCCCGACTAAACTTTTGACAACTTGGTGGGAATTGTTTACGCTGAAATTCCAACCATGACAGATCTTTGAAACAGCTATTCATAAAATTAATTATGTCAGTATATACTCGAAGAAAACGCAATTTCTCGGTACTTATTAATCTGTTTTAAACGAGATAAATGTTTCGATTAATAACATTATGCAATTTTGCGTGAAGTGAAAGGAGTTACGAAATGAACGAATTAATGTAGAACCCGTCGTGGTTTTTAGAATTCTCTCGCTATCAAATAAAAAACTGTCGGATTCTATTTTACCGCGTCAAAAACATTATGCTGAAAACGAATTTATTGTACCGATACAGTGTATTAAAGTATACCACGTTATGTGGTCACCCGTGTCGTCTAATCGAACAGCGATTGTTTTTAAACTGCTCAATGACACGATGCTACCCTTTTAAGCTTAAAATTGAAAAACAAAGAGTTTTTCGTTATAAATATTGCTCTACATTTGAGGTGGAGAAGAGCTAATGAGTATTAGTTTCAATCCATTGGTTTTCATACAAACGACACCGGGTGTCTGTGAACAAATATTATTACAGTTAAAATCATTCGCGTTGTCTTTACGAAAAAACATTAAATTATTATAAGGGCTGGAAATATAATACTCTATAAACCTAAAATAGCTTATAGATAAATAAGCAATTCACTAAAAAAAACTGCGTGAAAATATTTATTTTTTTAAATTATTTTGATAAAAATCAAGGCTTTGCACCCGAACTAACCCGAACCCGTAACACTCCTAAAAACGCTTAAAAAATCAAACACCTAAAATGCATATAACCCGAATGATTTTTTTTTTTAAAACATCCGAATTAACCAAAACCCGAATAATTTTTTATTTTACAATCTTTATGTGACATATCATTTTGTATGTATTTTTTGTGATTATTTCAATTTTGTCATTAGTTATTTAATAGTAAAATTATTATTCATAGGAATAATTTCACAAATAATATACAAAATTTTTTATTAATCTAAATTTATCTAAATAAAGACAATAGCAATATATCATATTGACAGGTGTGCATGAATGGTATGGTATGTTGAATGTTCAAGTGTAAACAACTGAGATACTATTTTTAAAACTATCCAGTGGCGGTGATAGAATTTTAAAACTAGCTGGGCCAGGCTGGGACCAAAATTTTTTAGGGAGGGTCAAATTGTTGACTTGATATATATATATAACACAATTGTGATGAGAGAAAATTGTGCAGAGGGGGAGAGGGAGGGTCAACTTTCAATTTTTCAATTTTTTTCACACTTCATCGTGTAAACTTACTAAAACAATGATTTGTAAACATGTATTAACAGTATTAATTTCCTAACAAAATATATATTCATGTAAACACTTTTTAATTTTTATACTCCCTAACCCAAAATTACACTCAATACCAATTACACCATCAGACATCAATCGTAGTACAATTGAGTTTCTGTAACTATAAAAACATAACTACGAGTATTTTAAACTGACAATAAACATTATATTATGTTATAATACCAATTCTAATAAACAATTCAACAAACATATCTTATTGTATATATATAAAAAAAAAAAAAAAATATAAATATAATATTTTAAGATAAAATAAAAAACAACTGTGTTTCAAGATTAAATTGAACACTTAAAAACTTTTAATATTAATTAAAAACAGCAATAAAATACATAATAATATAAATAATTTATTTTAATGAAATTCTTCTATTGTTATGACATTCAGCAAAAATATTGATTATATCCTCAATATTTAATGATATTTCTTCAGATTTTTTTATATCAATTATACTTAAGCTAATAGATTGTTGTGAAGCATAGAATTTTTCAAATATGATTTAATTCTTTTCATACATGAAAAAGTTCTTTCACATGCTGCTGAAGATACAGGTATTGTAATTGCAATAGTACATAATTTGTATAATTCAAAAAATGCTAGTTGATAATCCAATAAAAAATTATGAAATTGAAAAATAGTTTTTATAGAATGGTATTTTAATTCAAATTGTTTTATTAATTTTCTAATAATGTTTAATTCAGAATTTAAAAAATCAATATCACACATATAAGCTAAAGCAAATGGATGAATAAGATTTTTATCCAAAAAATTACTATTTCTTGGGTCCATTACACTAATTCCCATCAATAAATCTTCGTTATTAGAAAACCTTTTACTTAGTTTAGCATTGATTTTATCTATAATAATTAAATAAAGGTGTTTTCGAAAATCAGTTTCTGAACTTAATACTGAACTTTCAAATGAACTACCTTCAACTATAAATGTTTGCAAATGTTTGGGTAATTTTTTAACTCTGTTTTTTTCTTTATTTTGTGCAGAAGGGTGTTTTATATTTAATTTATTTGCCATTAATTTGGATGCACTATATAATTTTGAATGATAACTTAGATCATTTCTTATTTCACAAAAATGTTCTTTAAGAGAATTCAATAATATAATTGTTTTGGCCATATCAGCATTTTTATCTTGTAAATATTTGGTCAACAAGCTAAATTCGGAAAGTAAATCATTAAAAAAAAGTAATAAATATATAAATTTAAAATCTATGTTCTTAAGTAAACCAGTAGCTTCTGAGGAACGTATACTTTTTTCATTTGAAATCTTATATAATAACAACAGTATAACTTCCAAAATAACTTTAACAGCTCGACATGTATGAATTTGAAATAACCAACGAGTAAGGCATAATCTTTTAAGTTCAATTGGTTTTGGAATTTTTAAAATTTGTTTTTGAAGCTCAATAAACTTAGAATGAATTGAAGTTCCAGATATAAAATTATATAAATCTTGTAAAAAATTAAAAAAAAAATTACTTCATCTACATTTTTTGCTACATCTAGAAGAACTAAATTAAGACGATGATTATGGTAATGAATATAAAAAGCACGAGGAACTTTATTTTTAAATAAAGCTTGAACTCCATTAACTGAACCTCTCATAACATTAGCTCCATCATAGGTCTATGCAACACATTTATTTATATCAATCTTACATTAATTTAATTTAATTTTAATATGATTAAATAATGTGTTTGCATCTAAATTTTTTAGTGGAGTAAACCCTAAAAATCGCTCTTTAATTTCATTGTTATAATAATATCTAACAACAACTGATAGTTGTTCAGTTTTTGTAATATCCTTAGTTTCATATATCATTATTGCAAAATATCTAGATTTGTCTAGTTCAGAAGATATTTTATTTATTAACATACTAGCCATGATGTGAATTAATTCTTTCTGTATTGAATGATGAAGATACCTAGCATTTTTTGGGCCATTCATTTTTTTTTAACAACATTATCAAAAAGAGAAATAACATTCATCAACTCTAAGAAATTTCCTTGATTTATACTAGATTCATTTTCAAGATGTCCACGGAAGGCAATATCCTGAAAAGCTAACATTCTTAAAGAAATTATTATTGCTTCCATATATTTTTTATTTTCAATTACAATACTAGTATGATAATTATTTAATTGTGATAATACAGAAGTCTTATTTAATTTGTTTTTTTTTTAAATTCTATTCATGAAATAGTACAGTTTTTATGTTCATCACTATTATCATGTCTCAAAAAATTTCCTACAAGACATTGTATTTTTCCAATTAGTGTAACCTGTACTTATAAACATACTAGCACTATTGTTCTTTTGTTTAATTGAAAAAAAACCTACAAGGAAAACAATATACAGTATTTTCACTTTGACTATATTCTATCCACTTAAATTGCTCATACCAACAAAATTGAAAACTTCTGGTCCTCTTTGTCCTCCCAGTACCATAGGTGGTCTTAGGAAAGTTCTTTAAATTTGATTGATATGGCTCTTCATCGATGGTTTGTGAAATATCATAAAGACCAGGAACTGTACGAAGGCTTTGAGGCTTGACTATGTACTCTAATTCCGTTTCACAGTTTGTAAAAATAGATTTATCAATTTCATTAGTACTTTCATAGCTTGAACTAAATTAAAAAAAAAAAAAAATAATAATTCAATATAAATTCCTAAGTAAGCTATTAAACATTAGGTATTAATTAATAATTATTAAAGGTATGATTAATTTACCTGCATAAGTCAACACTACTACAAGTACTAGATGAAGATGAATAATTTGATTTATCAAGTTCTTGATTAGGTAGTTCATTTGTATTACTAAACAAGTTCAAATTAAATTGTATGTTAAAATCATAGTACAATTTATTTTATTTGAAAAATGTTTAATTATACAAAATTTAAATTCAATCGATATTTTTATTATTAAATAAACACATTTTTATGCATGTAAAATGTAATGTACTAATGTATAATATATTATAATTTTTGGCATTTTATATTGCATTTTTTTTTTATATATATTTTTATTGAATTTTTAAGATTTATAGTGCATTAAATTTACAGCCTTAGTTATAAATAATAATAATATATTATACCGAAAAATCATTTGGAAAAAAATTATCAACTTACTTTTCGACTTACTTATGGTTTCGAAAACTCTGTATTAGTTGTATTATGTTCAATCACCATTACAGTCGAATGATGAATATTTTTATTTACTACAAATTTTGTAGTTTTTGGATTCATTGCTAAAATGTTCATTAGGTATGTTTTAATATTAATTATTAGTTCTCATATTATTTATTTAAAAAAACTTACCATCAGAAGAAGAATCAAAATCAGATGCATTGTTTATTTCCAATTTTATCTTCTTAGGCGCAGAAAAAAAAGATTTTATAGACCTGACCTTTTTTGTTTTAATAGTCTCATTTTCGATATTGCTTTCTGACATGATGACAAGTTAAAACGTTTAAATAATTAATTAATTAAATATTGATTTAATTTAAAATGGCGAAAATCGTATGGGTAAAATACCTTGAACACCAAACAGTTAAGTAACAATCAAGAACAAAATGAACTGTCAAATGATCACAAAACATAGAATAGTATAAATTACATAGGTACACGAATATACAAGATTAAAAATGTACAGTAGATTGTAGATAACAGTACCTCGCGCATTGCCGTCGATAAAACTGTTACTGATTCTTACAACTATACAATACAATATTATTTCAAAAGTATCTAAAAATAGAATGTTTTCCATTGTATTTTCTTTACCATAGTTGGTTAATAATCTAAACTCGTAGTTCGTGGAATTTTCAACAAAATTATTAATAACATTGATTAATATTTAATAATTAATAAATATAACTTATTATTTTCGTATTCAGCCGCTGGAAAATACACGTTATTTATGAGGCTTGAAAGCATAGTGCATAGTTTTCAACCCATTCAAAATGTTGTTCACGCCATCTATTATGACTTAATATTTTCATATTTTGATAAATCATGATTTAGTCATGAGATGTTTTTTAGTGTTCTAATATGATTAAATTTAATTTTTGGGGTGGGTCACAGGGGGGGGCCCGAGACATTTTAAGGTGGGCCTGGGCCCACCCTGGACCACCCCTGGCACCGCCACTGAAACTATCCCAAGCGGATACGTCGTATTATTATAATTTAATAGGTAATAGGTCTTCTACGAATCACCGAGTCGTTATTTATTACAATATTGTAAGTCTGAAATAGAATTGATGTCTCGCGTATAATTACCTAAATTGTTGTTCGCGTTATTCATATTTGTTCAGTGTATGACATATGTCTATGTCATGAATTGTCAATTTTTGTTGGTGTAATAATTTCATCGTAACATTCATAAGTACAAATTATTATCATTTTTGTATTACGCTATGTTCTAGCTAGTGCGTTTTTAATGTGAGCACGCATCACAAACCATAAGCAGACATTTGGTGAAATTTGTGGGGGGGGGGCTGAGCATTATTTGCTTATTATACCTATAGAAACAACTGTGCGCAATTATTTATTTCAACAAGGCAATTTACGAACTATGACAATTTGCCATTTTTAATCAACAATTTAAACAAAAAAACAATTAGGTGCCTCATTTTAAACATTTTTGGAGTAGGTATTATTAACAGAAATTATTAATTAATTAAATTAAACAACCTATACGGGTATTATTACATATTATTAATATTACATTAATTGCGATCGTTCCAAGTCATGACAAGAAGTTTGTAAAATTTTACGAATTTGATTTAATTTTTATCACAGAATATATTTTTTTAATTTGGTTATTAAAAATGCACTTTTTTAGTTATAAAAATTATTGTATTTTTCGTCTCTTAACAATTTTTAGAGCTAGGGGGGCTAAGACCTGTATTTTATATTTCTAGGGGGGCTTAGTCCCCTCAAGACCTCTTCCCTCGATGTCTGCCTATGCCACAAACGCAAATGCAGAATACAAAATAATTTGTTTTTTGTCGCATACGATATGCCCGCACCAGTGGCGTAACGAAGGGTGGCATGACGGGCAATGGGCCACGGGCCCACGACTCTAGAAGGCCCTTCAAGAAAAAAATAGTACATTCAAAAACAAACCACCATTAGTGAAATTTATAAACACGATTCTGTTTAAAAATATATGTATATTCTTGTAAAATAAAATAAATTTAATAACTGATCACGATTATTTTTATAGATTATTTTATTTACCAGTCCGTCGACATTGTCTATATTAATATTATTATTATACATTTAATGATATTGTTATTTGTAGAATGGAAATAACAATGAAGCGTATCACAATCGCTTGTCTTTGAAACCGAACGTAACATTTATATTTTATATTTAGATACTAGATTAGATTAGAACTATTCAAGGAAAAAGTGACCGTCGTTTAGTCGTTGTTACACTATGTTCTTTTAATTTATATTTTATTTTGTTATTGGTCAATGACGTGTCGTAGACCGATTTTGTTTTCACCTTTTGCTGTGAATCAGTGATTCGTATTCGTATAGGTATTGTAATCAATCATGTCGAAAAAAATACCTAGTGGGTATGAAAAGCGTAAGAAAAAAACGGAAGAACAAGAAAAATTATTAAAATTGCCTAAAATTAGTAGTTTTTTTTCTAGTACCATTCCTCGTGAAAATAAAAGTGAAATAATAATTAAAAGTGTTAATACCGAGGTTAATAGTGAACAAAGTGTTGAACTTAGTTCTGTAGATAGTGAAAAAAATGAAGAATCCGCCCCAGAAATGTTGTCATGCTGTTCATATAAAGGTACGAATCAAAATGAATCTTTTGATATTGTTTTTAAAAATATTATTGAAACTTCTTCTGATCCGACGGATATTGGACATTTTAAAGAAATCGTTTTAGATGCTCAAACTAAACGGTTCATAATTGAAAATGGGCATAGTAAACCTAAAGCTAAAGGGCCCTTCGCTAAAAATTCAGACGGTAGATCTTTTTTTGAAAAGTATTATTTTACAGTGTCCAAATCTGGTTTAAAAATCGAACGTTCGTGGCTATGTTATTCGACTATACTTCAAAAAGCGTATTGTAGGTCATGCTGGCTATTTGGAGATCGCACATCCACTGGCTTTCAAGAAATTTGGACTACAGGATATTGTGATTGGAAACACATAGTAGATGGTATTAAAAGACACGAGCAATCACACGTTTACTACATTTCCTGTTTAGTATATGAAAAATGGTTTTTAAATAAAACATTAAACGAAGAACTAGAACAGAATATAAAAAAAGAAAAATTATTTTGGCGTCAGGTTTTAGAGAGAATTTTAAATATTACTCTTACATTAGCTATGCGAAGTTTACCTTTTCGTGGTCACAGAGAAGAGCTCGGTAGTGGAAAAGGAGAAAACGGCAATTTTATTTGTTTTATTAAGTTACTTGCAAAATACGACCCAGTACTAGAAAAAGTTATTAATCAGGGTATAATAAAGTAAACTACTGTAGCCCTAAAATTCAAAATGAACTAATACAGTTAATTTCAAATAAAGTCGAAGACGAGTTAATACTTAATATTAAAGAAGCTCCTTTTTTTTCCATTATAATTGATACAACGCAAGATATTTCAAAGGTTGATCAGTTAAGTGAAATTTATCGTTATTGTGTTATAGAAAAAGATGAATATGGAAACCCAAAAAATGTATGTGTTAAGGAAACTTTTTTAGCATTTCATGAAGTTGTTGATCAATCTGCTTCTTCTCTTTCTGAACTAATATTACAGAATATTGAAAAAAAGGGATTGTCTATCGCCAAGTGTCGTGGTCAGGGCTATGACGGGGCTGCCAATATGAGTGATATGTATAATGGCCTACAAAAAAGAATTAAAGACATTGAGCCAAGCGCAGCTTATGTCCATTGCTCTGCTCATAATTTAAATTTAGTTGTCAATGATGCTGTGAAAGAAATAACAGAAATGAAAATCTTTTTTGATGTTGTTCAACGAGTTTTTGTTTTTTTTGGACATAGTATAGTAAGATGGCGTATATTATCAGATTTAATTAAGGAATCGAACAGTCAAAATGGATTATTAATAAAAAAACTTAATCCCACAAGATGGGCTGGTCGTTATGAAGCAGTTTTTGCGCTTAAAATTAGATTTGTTGAAATTCAAAAAGCTTTAACAAAAGTTATACTTTGCAGCTCTAAGTTAGATGAGCGAAATGAAGCTGAAGGGATTAAAAAACAAATTGAAAATTATAATTTTATTTGCACTTAAGTTTTTCAATGTAAAATTTTACAAATTATAAACCTAACTTCTAAAATTCTCCAGTCAAAGTCAGTTGATTTAGATAATGCATCCAATTTATTAAAAAACTGTTATGAACAATTAAAAGAATATAGATGTAATTTTAATGATCTCTTGGAAGAAGCAAATATAGTTGCTAAAAGTTGGTCTATCTCTACAGAGTTTCAAAACAAACGTCGTAAAGTTGTAAAAAGATATTTCGATGAACTATGTACTGATATGCGTTTAACTTGTCCAGAAAGCTTATTTCGTGTAACTATTTTTAATAGAACGTTGGATAGATTAATAAATCAAATAAGTAAACGTATTTCAAGTTTTCATGAATTAATGCTAAATTTCACATGTTTACAACCATCTTTTCTTACATCAGCAACAGATTTAGAGCTTTTAAATGAAGCTACGAAGTTGGTAAACAAATATGATAAAGACATATCAAAAACATTTACAAGTGAAATTTTAGCTGTAAGATCAACTCTTAAAAATCAAATAAGTCAACTTAATTCAACTAGAGATCTTGCTCAACTTTTAATGGTGAAAAATCATTCTTTAACAGCCAGTTTCTCAGAAGTATGTACTGCTCTTTTATTATTTTTGACAATTCCTGTTACATCTGCAAGCGCGGAACGGTCATTTTCGAAACTAAAAATTATTAAAGGATATTTAAGGAGTACAATGATGCAAGATCATTTAAGTGGTCTGGCATTAATTTCAATCGAACAAGAAACAGCCCGAGAAGTTGACTTTGAAAATTTAATCGATATGTTTGCCGAAGCAAAAGCAAGAAAGAAGAAATTTTGAATATTTAAATTTTTGTATTGCTTTGTATATATTTTTTAAACCAAAAAATGTTTATTACAATTTTACTATAAAAATAATATTACACTAAACATGCTTTTCATTGTTTGTAACCTTAAAGGGTAGAATTTTATAGGTGGTTAGTTTTTGTAGGATATTCCTCATATCTCTTTTTTCCTAATTTATAAAACTAAGGGCCCGATTGGATTATTTTGCCACGGGCATTAAAAGTTCTGGTTACGCCACTGGCCCGCACTAACTAGGAGTAGGACATAGTGTTAGTATTTTAATTGTAATAGATATTATAATTTATAAGCTTCATACACATATAAAATAACTCCTTCTTCCCAGAAAATAAATCGTAGTTACACCATTACTTGAAATTAACATAATGATAGATTGGTCTAAAAAACTGTTGCACAGTTGTACAAGAAATTTATATTTTATTACATAGGCAGATAACAAAAAATATAAATATTTCATTAGTGGAGAGTGACTCAGCCTCCCCACCGTATTCCACCAATGAAAAATAATGTTTTTCCTTGATTACTTAACACCCGTATTAACCAATATTAACCCGAATAATAACGGTTATTAACACCCAAACGTTTGTTTAAATGTTGTATTGCGGTGTTTGAACATCCGAATATATTCAACACTCGAAACCCGAAATCCGAAAAAATTATTCGGGTGCAAAGCCTTGATAAAAATAACGTTTTATAAAATTGAGTTGAAAAAAAAGTATTCCAAACAACACTGAACATCATTGACTGTTTTTAATCTAGGAGAAAACATTAATTTCTACATATTTGCCAATTATTTGAAAGTTATTGAACTATGTATTTATTTAGCTGTACCTTATGAATTATTACATTGAATCACTAGAACTTACTTTAGGTTTTTGGATGAAAATTATTTTTTTATTCACGCCAAAACCACGTTAGCACGTGATAATTTTAGAATAAAATTTCAAACTCAAATCTTGGATACAAGAACAACAAAACAACGGGAAAAATCCTAAAATGCTCAAAAATAAAAAAAAAATGAAGAGAAGAGTATTCACGATTGTTAAATAACTAAAATAAATAAGTACGACAAACTTATATATTCTCTCAATCAAAAGTACTTGAAACTGATTTCATCCACACAAGAATTACGAAAATTATGTTGATAAACAATGCGAAACGCATGTCGAAATCCCAACTCCAATTATAATTGTAAAACGGTTCATGATTTATTGCGACCGCAAATCAACAGCTCATTATAGGTACCCGACTTGTACGATGGAATTTCCTTTCAATCATACGGGTACGAGGAACGTCCGACTGATACAAAAATACCAATTGCAATATTGCGTCGATTGTTCCTGTTCACGAAATTTTTTTTACGCGCCGGTCCCGCATTGTTGTTCACGAAATATCGTGAGCGAGATGGGGTTCCGGGGAAAAGGACCGGGAAACGCAAGTATAAGAACCGGCTGGACCGGGACGGTGGGTCGTAAAACGCGTAACAAGTTCGGGTATACAATATAAACGAGTACGTCCGTTGCGACGGGGGATCGTTACATTGTCCTGTAACCGTACCGCATTATAATAATACGCTTTGGACGAGTGATGGGGTCAGTTTTATAGGCGCGCGAATGACACGAGGGTTGGTGGCGATGATAGACCCTAATATTTTTCACGCATTTATACATCGGTGCCGACGGAATAATACTTACGCGCAATAAACGTGCTTTAAACGTATAAATAACATTAAAACGCGTCCCCGCCAACGTCGTCGTCCTTAACGCTGATCCGTGACGCTATACGAACACCTACGCGGCAGGGGACCGGGAGACGAGGCAAAAGTAATTCTGATCTGTTTATATGTACCAGACAGTCACGGTGGTGGTGTGTATATATATATATATATATGAATGTTCAAGAATAAAGTTTATATCCTCTTATTTTTATTTTTTTCCTTTCCTAAATTGTTATTTACGGCGACGAAAAATTTGTTCGGCGGCGAAACGGATAAACGAACGGCCGCGCCGGGCACGGACCGAGGACGGCCGAGGGCGGAGAACGAGAGGGATTTCGGGTAAAAGTCCATAAAACGCGGACGCGAAAACCGTCTAACGTTATGTAAGTTCTCCTTAAGACAGACACCCGGGGCGGAGGCGCGCGGATGAACCGCGGGACGACGCGGAGTGGTGTGCGACGACACCGCACGGTTTATGTACGGTGAACTTCCTAAGTATATCTATACGTGTGCGCGTTGCGGTGATGTCGCGTCGGTTTCTGTCCCGCAGGACCGTCTCGCTGGTCGTTAGGGCAAAAGCGAACGCCCGCCGCCGCGCGTCCTTCCGTAACCGCGTCGTCGTCGCAACCGGCTTCAGGAACGCGCGCCTGCTCCACCGCCGTAGCCATCGCGCGCGGTTTTTCATCCGCTCGTTCGCGCCGCGCACGTTTTGTTTCCCGACCGTGCCGCGCGTTTTACACGTACGGGATTACACCGCCGCGGACGACGGACGTGCACACGCGTGCGGTACGCCACCCGCGGGGGCGAGCAGTCCCTCCAGGAATACGCACACGATCGTATTATGCGGAACGGACGCGATTAAATCCGACGGCGGCGGCGCGTTGTTTCTCGGCGCGGAATATTTATTGCCCGGCGTGCGTGCGGTTGTCATATCGCCGGCGCGACGAAGCGGACGCCCGCCGAGACGTGGGCGGTGGCCGCCGGCGCGCTTTTAATCAACCGTGTGCCGTTATTGTTCCGTCGTTATCGGTCGTACGCGGTGCGATGTTAAACGCGCGCGTAATGGTCCACGCACTCGGAAAACAACCATGCTTGTCCCGCGCACGGATTTCACTCGTTTTCCGGCCCTTCGGACTAGTTCTGCACGGTGGATTCGACGTTAACGGCATGCGTACGTGTGTACGAAAAATAACATTGTATATCATTATCGGTTTGATTGGGTCGCCATAGCCGAAAAAGAACACTATGGTTTTGATTTGGCTCGTTTTGCGAAATCTTTTACTGGAGGACAGAGTGTTGACAAAGATAGCAATTAACGAGGGGGTAAACTGTGAGCCCAATGATCCAGGCTTCGAGCGTCTTACCGATGAACAAATAGCGTTGGGTACGGTTTCGAAAAGTGGAGTAGAAGAAAACGACGAAGAACAATGTGTGGTGAAGCAAACAGTGTTGGGAACAGATAACCAAAAAACTATCAAGATAAGACAATTTCACCACAATATCATCTAAATGAATATAACATAAATAGAGTTTATCTAGATAAAAATATAGATAATTCCATTTTTTACTGTATATCCAGATGCGCAATTTCAATAAAAAAAACTGAGGGTTCTGAAGCCCCACGGGCAGGTTTAAAGGGGTGGCTAAAGGGACATTAGCCCCCCCCTCTGGGACTAAGCTATCTATTTTACAAAGTAAAGTATTATTATATATTAATAGTTATAATAAAATATCGTCAATAGTCATTGATGAATATGGTACCTATTTTATATAAATAAATAGCTCACTTTTGTTGTTAATTATATGGATTTACCTATATTTTAAAATGGTTTTAGATAAAAATTGATACCAATAATGTAATTATTTAAACTTTGTCATTATTGTAAAAAAAAAATAAATTACTTATGAAGGACTCAAAAACATATTCTGTAATTTAAAATTGTATATAGATTTAAAGAACCAACTAACTAAATTCTTAAACTTCCATTAGCCCCTCCCTTGGTTAGTGGTTAAAGCCACCCCTGTGAAGCCCTTCTATATTTTTCATGATTCTTAATGGTTATAGACATCCGGAACCTGTACAATTCAATAGTTATTAAGCAATTAGTTACTTACAATATCGATAAAAACAAAAAAATATACCTACCTACTATTGCCGTCTTCGGATTCCACAGCGATTATGTGTAATAAAGACATTCTGGGAATTTTCTGATTCTAAAAATATATTTATATTGTATTTTAAATGTTGCCAAATGTAAACGATCAATAATCTGTTGATATTTATCGGACTTTTATCGGATTAGCTAGATTAAATATATATATTTTTATAAGTTCTACATATTTTACAATTTTTTTTTATACATAAATACATTTTACAGGTATTAGATATTTTTATAAGTCCTACATATTTTTAATTTTTTATTCATATTATATATTACATATTATTAGGCGAATATTTTATACGATTATAATTATTAATTTATAACTTTTTTCAAGAATATTTATTGTACGTATTCTGAATTTTTCAAAAACCAAATAAATGATATGGCAACGTTGACACATAAATTCGTTCTCAATCGTATCGTTTTTTGGGTCAGCGGTAAATTCTTTGTTCATTTTAAGTGTTCTCAATCATTCGGCCAAAAAGGTATAAAGTTCTCAATCGTTTGATAGCCCACCAAACGAGTTTAGTTTATATTAATTATGAGTAGTTCTGTTTAAATAACAATTTTCCTTTTCAACAACCATTTTACTATAGCGATGTATTGAAACCTTAAAATATTTTTGTCCAGATCAATATTAAAAATTATGTTTTAAAATTTATACGAATCACCTTTCGATTTGAAAAATATCGGTCATTAGCATCCATCAGGTATGATGGGCTCTATTTTACGTTTGAATCACATTTGATGTATTTAAAAAAACAATCTATTGATTAATAACTATTATAACCATCCGAAATTTGGTGACGATTACCATAATAAACAAATTATGTATAAGGTATTTCAATATAGTATACTATTTTTAAAACCTTTATAAAAAAGTTTTTAAATCATTAAATGTTTGAATAGGTTAGTAATTAGTAAGAATAGATCAGTAAGCTCCAACGATTATGGAATTGGTGATTTCCTTTCGGGGGGTGGGGTGGGGGGAGGTGGATGGGAAACATCTGAAAAACTATTGTGTTGTAGAATCAAATGGTACAAAATTTGTTCCACTTCGGATATTACTGTATTTGTACAAGAGTGGCGCACCAATCG